AGTCTGGGGTGTTATGTTGCAGGTGCTTGTCTGTTTGAATTCTGAAGTCCCAGAGCAGTTTAATTTTATCATTTTCTATGACTTTCTCTATTTTATGATCCCACCAGTTTTTGCTTACAGGCAAATGATATTTTTTGCAGATCTTCCAATGCACCATTGTTGCTACTTTGTCATGCCGCTGCTTGTAATCAGTTTGTGCAATCTTCTTGCAACAGCTTACCAAGTGGTCCACTGTTTCTTCAGCTTCTTTGCATAGGCGGCACTTACTGTCTGTTGCTGTCTTTTCAATTTTGACTTTGTATGCATTTGTCCTTAAGGCTTGGTCTTGTGCAGCCAGAATTAGTCCCTCGGTCTCTTTCTTCAATTTTCCTGCTCTTAGCCATTGCCAGGTCTTATTATTATCTGCTTTCCCAGCTATTTTTTTCACGTATTGGCCATGTAGTGCTTTGTCTTCCCATGCCTCTATTCTGTTCTTCAGTTGGTCTTTCTTGTAAGCCAGTTTGGTCTCTCCAGTAGTCAGTAAGCCTTCCTGATATACTAATTCCTATTACTACTACTACTACTACTACTACTACTACTACTACTACTACTACTACTACTACTACTGTATGGATACTGCTAGCCCTCATGGCTTCCACACAATGTTAATCAAGTGGATAGATGAAAGTCTGAAACAGGAGCTTGTTTGGTCATTAAGGAAATGAATGGGAAGATTATACAGAAACATATGAACTGTCCTCTACCTGCCACTGTCTCCTTAATGGGCTTTTCACCCCTCCTTAAATCTGTTGCTGGGTTTGATGGCCTTATTAGCAATAGCACTTAGACCAGTGGTTCTCAACATTTCTGATGCCGCGACCCCATAATACAGTTCCTCATGTTGTGGTGACCCCCAACCACTTATACATCACTGGGTGCCAGGGGCGTGGCCAAAGAAAAGGGGGGAAAAATGGCAGACAGCCTTGTTTGGCGACCCCCGTGAAATGGTCGTTCGACCCCAAATGGGGTCCCGACCCACAGGTTGAGAACCACTGACTTAGACTTATATACTACTTCATAGTGCTTTGTAGCACTCTCTTAAGAGGTTTACAGAGTCAGCATATTGCCCCCAACAATCTGGCTCCTCATTTTACTGACCTTGGAAGGATGGAAGGCTGAGTCAACCTTGAGCTGATCAGGATCGAACTCCTGGCAGTAGGCAAAGTTAGCCTGCAATACTGCATTCTAATCACTGTGCCACCACGGCTAAATAAACCTGTCTTTTGAACTCTATTGTCTGGAAGCCTAACATGCTAAAACCTTTTCTTGCAAAGGTGCAGCGACAGGTTTATTTAGAAATTTTAAAAAAATGAGCCACAGATAGCTGTTCAATAAGGGAAATCCATATGTTTCAAAATAAAAATTTTGAATCAAGAAAACTGAATAAGCATTCTGGATATAACTGGATGTTGAGTTAAATTTTAGCTTACTCAGGGAGTAATGAATGATGAGTCCAAGCAAAACAATCTGTTTTTTTCTGTGTTCTCAAGTGATGTAATTCACTAACGTGGAAAACAGAAAAAAGCAATCCTTCTATTGTCTTAATAGGTTAGATTGGCCAAGAGTGACTACTCTAAAGTTACTCTGTTTCATGTCTCAGTCTAAGAGTTGTTGTTTTTCTTGGAAAAATCCTCAGTATTTCCAAGAATCTCGGGAAATGCAGGTGATTATATATGCCTTATCACCTTTCTTTGTCCATAATGATGTTTTTAAAGGATGTAAGTTTGGCATCTTTCAGCAGGTTTTCCTGATTTACACATACACAGATAACTTCACTTCCATAGTAACATGGCAACACTTACTGGTTTCCTTCTCTTCCTAGTTCAACTAGTTATGATTTAGAGCTGTCGAAACAAAAATTAAACGCTATTGACAGCTTGTTGTTTTAAGCCAGAATACAATTGGATTCGGACAGTGAAAAGGAGATTTGCAGACAGTATTTCAGCCAGGCAGAATTTCTTACCCATTAATAAAAATTCAGTTTCTTTTTTGAAAGAAATGTGTATGTGTGTGTGTTTAAATTTATATGGCAGCCTAGACCAGCTCAGTCATCCTCTAGAATATGTGGATTTCCAGAATGTCTTTGCTATGTTTAATTCTGGATGCTGAAATCTTCCCATGTCGATTGTGAAATGCTTCTCTATGGCATTGTTATTCAAAAGGAAGAACAAAGAAGAGGGTGTGAATGAAATTTATTAACTTCAGCAGTCAACTTCTTTGAAAGTGATAGCTTTTCCATTTCTTCATATGACCCACAAGAGGCCTAAAAAGAAACATACGGAATGGCAGTACTGAATAGAAAAGTGTGTCTCACTCTTTAGATGCTATTTATTAGGGCTTTTGTCAAGCAATCATTCTGCCTCGTTCTCAACATTTTATGGCGTTCAGGGATCGTTGTCTTCAATTTGTAAGCATCCTGTGTTTTCCCATCACTTCTGGATGATAAGATAAAATTGTTGCACAGAGTTTTATGAATTGGCAGCCCCAGGAACTATCATTCTAGAAGTACACTGAACATAGATGGACTGCTGGTTGACTCCACTGATAGGAAAAACTTTCTAGTGGGATTAAATTGGCCGAGACAGGGCTGCCTGACTGATGACAACGTGTTATAAATGAGAAGCTAAACTTAATGTAGTGGCTTGCTGCAATAAATTTTATAATATTGCCTGTGGCCAGTTGAATGGTCATATAATGGCAATTTGCCTGTTTCATTTTAGAAACTGTTAAGTGCTCTATCGAGTTGGTCATGCATCATTTGGCTGATATAAAAGAAGCTTTTACAACTGGCATGATTCTTGTATTTGTAGCAAGAGCAGTTTTATGTGAGGAGGAGAGAGAGAGAACACACTTTTGTTATAGTTTTATGTGATAAAGGTTAGCATCTGCAGCAGGAATTAATAGCGTGAAGTCCATAAGTGAAACTATGTTCAGCATGGCTTTTCAGTCCACCCTGTTCTAAACTGGTTGAATGTTGAGTAAATAAGACATTTATGTATTTAGTATAAAATGATTTATGCATTGTGATAACCTTAATTTAAATCATGCATTAAAATCTGAAATGAATATGACCTATCAAAAGAAAATGTTCACCCAAGTTTCAGTAACCATGAAAACATTGTTTTATTGTAGTCAGTTGTGCACGTCGCTGAAATAAGGTGAACGACAATTTATTTATTCATACATATATGTTCTGTAAGTGTAAAACTATCTTTAAAATATTTTAAGCATCTCATGGTTTAAAACATGGAAGATATGTTGTTTTTGATTAATACTGCCCCTGAGGTATCTAGGACAGTATCTCACCATGGCCAACTTGCCGTAGCCAACTCACTGCTGTCAACTCGTCATGGTCAACTCACTGTGGCTAGCTCGCCATGGCCAATGTGCCATGGGATTAACTCACTGCGGGACAATTCAACAGTTTTATTTAATTATTTAAAATAATTAAAAATATTTTTTTAATTCCACCATTTCTTTGATGTTATGTAATTTTTGTCCTGCGGCAAGTTGTCCCGGGGTGAGTTGGCTGTGGTGAATTGTCCTGTGGTGAGTTGGTTGTGGTGAATTGGCCATGCCAAGCTGACTGTGGTGAATTGGCTGTGGCGAGTTGTCTAGACCTAGACCCTCAGTCTGAGAATGCTAATGGACACAGAAAATATGGGATAGAAATTTCACAAAAATAGACGTATTCTGGAAGTGACACATAAAGCAATTTTAGACTGGTCCCTAATAGAAATTATAGGGCAGCAACACTTTGCCCAAATTAGCAGTTATAGGAAAAATAGTGGTTCCCTAAAGTGATGTAAAAGTAAAAAACTCTTTTTTTCAATTGTATCTCCTCTTATCAGTGCCATAAACCTGTAAACTCAGAAAACAATGATTGAAAACTCAAATAAAAGCATTTGCTAAAGAACTACCTGTGGGAGCTAAACAAATTACCTAGCTGCACTCCATATATTACATTTGACAGCCACTAATGAAGGATTTAGTTGATAATGTGCAAAGATTGGACTGGAGGCCTGAGAGCTTTATGGTTTGTTTGTTCATTTTTTTTAAAGTTTGCAAACAGCAGACCATGTATTTTTTAGGTCAGTCATCAAGAAAGTTGGAGGGGGGGAAACTACCTGCAGACTGACTTTTCTTATTCAACAATTGATTTGAGTTTAATCTACTGACAAACCTATTCGGGGCTTACAGTGATTAGCAAAGGTTTTTGACTCCTACCTGTGAACAGTAGCAACAGTAGCACAATTCTCCTTGTCTGTCTCCCCAGATTATGCTGCTGAGATGAAAAAGGTTTGGGGGATAGCCAGGAGTACTAACGTCTATACAGTTTGTATATTTACAAAGAATAGCAATCAATATCTGGTTTTAGATTTCTTTGGCTCTGCCAGTCTACTCAAGCACATGGCTCAGGAGGGTGGATCTTTGTAGTCTAATAAAAAAAGAAAGTAGTTCCCGCAAAACTGAGATTTAACTGTTTTTGGCATTGGAGGCTTTGTTGGATTTGGCAACCCTATCTTAAAATAACCCTGGTATAATTCTGGGGGAATGAGTGGATTCTGTGATTGAGGTGGAAACTGTAAAGGCAGGAATCCTTATGTGAGAATAAAACTTGCTCCAACCACTGGGGACCCATTCAGAGAAAATGGTGAATGAACTTTATAGAGTTATTCTTTGCAAGGACTTGCACTCTGCCAGACATGCAAAATTCCCTTCCCCCTCCCCCCCCTCCCCCCCCCCCCGCCTCCAGCTTGTATGATTATCTCCTGGGCTTTTGTGCACTAAGGAAATAGAACATGAAGAACTAATAAATCCAATTAAACTCTGACATTAATTCAGTAAATCACACAGCAGCAGCAGTGTTTTTGCAATACTATGGATTTTTTTTCGAGGGCCTTACAGATTCTCTTAGGAGAAGAATTAATCCCTTTTCTTCTCATTTTATCTCTTTCCAGACATTTACAGCGTGGTGTAACTCTCACCTCCGCAAGGCTGGCACCCAGATTGAGAACATAGAAGAAGATTTCCGAGATGGCCTGAAGCTCATGCTACTCCTGGAAGTTATATCAGGTGAGACCATTGTTTTGCAATAGTTAATGGGCAGGAGTGGAGAAACCTGTGCTTCAAGCTTTTCCTGTGGTACAAAAGAGCCAAGATGGCCATTGTTTGAAACATTGTCCCGTGTGCACACAGCTCATGTTATGAAATTTATGGAGAGAGTGAACTCCAGAGAGGCAAATAAATGGGAATCTATTCATATCCAGTATTCATTACCACATGAAGCAAAGCACTTGCTTCATCAGCATCTCTCTGTTGTCAGGACATGAAGCATCCAAATGCAAACTGGTGCCTTCTAGATTGGTCAAGCCAGCCTAGGATATTGAGAGCCACAATCCAGAATATCTGAACAGTGTCAGCTGGGGAAGGGTGTATCAGCATTACTTATCCAGTCACAATGTACTTTCTTAGGATTGGAAACCAAGGCAGTTAAAGCAATAGTGCTGCTACACTTCCATATGTTTTTGTCGGGGCACCTTTCCCACTTAAGCTTCATTGTACTGTCCTTTGTAGCCACCTATACAGGTAGTCCTTGACTTAACGACCACAATTGACCCCAAGATTTCTGTTGTTAAGTTATTTTTGTCCCATTTTACCATCTTTCTTGCCACAGTTGTTAAGTGAATCATTGCAGTTGTTAAATCAGTAACACGGTTGTTAAATGAATCTGGCTTCCCCATTGACTTTGCTTGTCAGAAGTTTGCAAAAGGAGATCACATGACACCAGGACCCTGCAACCATCGGAAATAAAAACCAGTTGTCATGCATCCAAAATTTGATCACATGACCATGGGGATGCTGCAATGGTCGTAAGGGTGAAAAGTGGTCATAAGTCACTTTTTTCTGTGTCGTTGTAACTTCGAACAGTCGCTAAATGAAAGGTTATAAGCTGAGGATTACCTGTATAGAACTTTGATTGCTCTTCTACAACCAAAAGCCTTGGAGAAAGCCACAAGTGGTCCTCCTTCCTCTGCAGAATTTAAAAGCAAAATGTTGAATGGTACATGTCCTGTGGCTTTCTTTGAAGTGTTCCAGAACCAGCTGAAATTGTCTCTTGTATTATTTATTCCTGACTTGTTTATCTTGCTAGTGAAGTGCTGGCTCATGCATCGGGAAGGAGAGGAAAGCCAAGAGGAAGCAGTTTACAGACAGTGATAGGCAGAGGGCAAATAACCAACCCTTGGTGTTTTTATTTACAGAATTCTGCCATGGAATATATTTCCTTCATGTTGCATTCTCCTCTTTGTCTTCATCTCTTTGCCCTTATTGCGTTTTGTTTTGAATGTTGCCTTTCTCTGCAGTGCCTTCCAGGTTTTCTTTAGGAGTCTGGCTTGAACAATTCTTCACCTTTGACTATCCAGGAATTCTGGAAACTATAGTACCAACAAATCTAGGGATCACTGGTCATGGAGAAGCTGGTTATACACACTGTGCACAGCCAAAATGCTTCAAAATATTTTTTTTGCTGTGATTTAACATGGTGGTTTGCCACATTATATGTAAGCAGGTTCCATGGCCTCTTAAAATCTCAACGATTCCCGTCCCCTCCCCCGTAGAAGCCCTTTTAAGCATGTAGAGTTGGCCTGAGCTCTTGAAAGTATAGGACAAGCCCTCACTTTGTCGTGGCATCGTCTGGTAAAGATTACTGTGACTGCCAAAGGAGAGTCAGTTCGTTCTTGTCTGAAGGAAAGGCAGCTGTTCTCCTGCCTCTTTGAACTTCAGGTTCAGTTGCTTTTGGCAGCAGTTCAAAGTAAATACAGTTATAACGGCTGGACATGCTGTATTTTGGAAAGAAAGGGCACATAACTGAAGAAAAGCTAGGAATTGTAGACTGAATCCTTTCCAAGAAAGGAAATGCCATTTATCTCCCTCCAATTTTTTTTTTAACTATAAGGTTTATTGTTGCTGCTGTGTATGAATGATCTTTTGACATAAGATAGCCTTTGGGGAATGTCAAAGTAGAATATTGGAAATGTATAATAAAAAATAATTAGAAATAGCCCCAAAGGGAAAAAAGTAGTGTGATTCAAGCCCACCAGATCACAGAGGTTCTGTTTCAGATAAGGACGTTTGCTCCTTTTTTGCCTGCCACTAGAACTAAAATCTCACATTTGAAATTTTTTTGCCCACCTCACATGTAATTCATTGATATGATATCTTTGGGATTACAGTGTGGATATATAAATTTGCAGAAGTGACTGTTAGCCACCAATTGATAACCCTAACTCATTTGAGGGGGAAATGGTACAGTACAAGTCAGCTGCAGTAAGCAGAGTAATCAGTTGATATCTGGCAGGCAAAAAAATTCTTTTTGATGGGCAAAAAGAAACTAGAACCCTGATAAGCTGTGGTTTAGTAGAACAAAACCCAGAATGTTTTATTGTTTCACATAAAACAAAATCCAGAGGAGTGACTAGGACAAGCTTGCCCTCCCCTTCTCTGTGGTTCCCAGTACAGCATACTGTATCAGCCTGCCCACCCCTCTTATTTTCCAGAGCCCTCCCTTCCTCATTTCTGCTCTGCCACCCCTGATATTGTTGCAGCACAGCACGTTTCCTGGGCCAGCCTGTCCCCAGATCTTCCCATGTTTCTCCTTAGCCATTAATGTCCTTGGCTTTTTCCCTGCTTTCCCCTGCCCCCAACTCCAAACCATTTGTGTCTGGATAAAAACAGCTTCATTTTGTTCTCTGCTTGGGCCAAAACTCCCAAAGCGTGTATGTTTCCATTCAGGCATAGACCACCCATAGTCAGCTGTTCCATGCACCAAACATTTTGCACATCTTTAGAAAAAATAATCCCAATGAAAACTGCCATGACATCTTAGTTCTGCTTTTATTTACTTCTGTACATACTTTCAATTCCCCACTATGAAGATAATTCAGCACATTTGTTTAGGCACTTTATTCTGTCTGGGCTAAACCCATATCGGCACTGAATGTCATATTGTACAGGGGGGAAAGCATTATTGCTTTTAGGACCTATGTATTGAAATACACATTAGGGAAAATCATGAGGTCAGTCCTTCTGAAACAATACCACTTTGGAATAAGAGGCAATTATATACTTAACTATTCCCTATATAAAGTGTTCCCCCTTTTATTTTTATTCGTTTTGAAATTTACTTCATTACATAGTTATAAACTTTACACTATACATTATATTGCTTTGCTACAGTATTGACTATATTGATTAATACAATGTTGAGTAAACATCATCACTGTAATATTTTGATAACTTAGACCATTTAGGATTCAAAACAAGAAAGAAATATCAATATTAATTATGACTTCAAATGTTAATAAGCATAAAATTATTTGGCTTTTTCATCCAGAATTGAATACAAAATTAAGAAAACACTGCATGTTGGGTCAACGTATTTGTTGTACAATAAAGGTTTTGATCTCAACTTACTATTAAGATCTCCACTGTTGGAAAAGGAAAAGAGAAAAAATAAACAAAGCAAATTTGAAAACAGTTTAATCTCATTCCTGCTTGTGACTATGGTATGATTATTTTAGTTTATTGTTCCCCAAAGGGCTGCTTAGTATGTGTATAACTTGTCACCTGAGGGAAATAGTCAAATAAATGATCCCTCTATATGATTAAGTGGTACTATCAGGTATATATAAAATTACGACTGTAAACAAATCCTAATGGATCAGCAGAGAAGCAACTGTTTTCTTTGTGTGGTATATGAATTCTTGGTAGAGGTGAAATGAAGGACTTCATTAAAAAAAAATCATGTCTTCTTTTCTCAACCTGACTAGGTGAACGTTTGGCTAAACCGGAAAGAGGCAAAATGCGAGTGCACAAAATCTCAAATGTGAACAAAGCTCTGGATTTTATTGCTAGCAAAGGAGTCAAGCTGGTCTCCATTGGAGCTGAAGGTAAGCAGCGTGCACTTCAAGCAGGGATTGGACAGTAGCAATAATGAACCTGCTTTTATTTGATACATATTTAATATTAGATGCATTGATAGAAAATAATGTATTTGCTTAACTCATTCTTTGCATCAGTCGTCACACAAAAAGAAACTATAGCCCAACATACCAAAAAAGACAAACTAGAAACAAAAATTAAAATAAGCAAGAAAATGGTAAGAGAACACCTATCCAAGCTTGACGAATATCACCAGGACCCTACAGATTACATCCCAGAGTTCTGAAAGAGCTGGCAGATGTTATCTCTGAACCGTTGCACCCCATCTTTCGTATATCCTGGAGCACCGGGAAAGTACCTGAGGATTGGAGAAGGGCTGATGTGGTTCCCATCTTCAAGAAAAGAAAAAAGATGGACCCAGGAAACTACAGACCAATCAGTCTAATATCAATACCTGGGAAGATCCTAGAAAAGATAATGAAAAAACAGATCTGCAAATAACTAGAAGCAAACAAAATTATAACTGGTAGCCAGCACAGGTTTGTTAAAAAAAGATCATGCCCCCCCCCCCAAAAAAAAAACAGATCATGCCAAACCAATCTACATCCACATGGAGAGAAGTAAGCAATGGGGTACCACCTGGTTCTGTCTTAGGCCTAGTACTCTTCAATATCTTTATAAATGACTTAGATGAGGAAATTGAAGGGGAACTCATCAAATTTGCAGATGACATTAAACTAGCAGGAATAGCCAACACCCCAGAAGACAAACTCAGGATCCAAAAAGATCTTGACAAACTTGAACAATGGGTCCTATCCAATAAATAAAGCAAAGTTTTACATTTAGGCAGGAAAAATCAAAGGTATAAGTACAGATTAGGTGAGACCTGGTTCAAAAACAGAAACTGTGAGGGGGACCTTGGAGTCCTAGTGGACGATCACTTGACTATGAGCCAGCAGTGTGCAGCAGCAGCCAAAAAAGCTAATACAATCATGGGTTGTATAAACAGAGGCATCGAATCAAGATCACACAAAATATTAGTACTGCTTTATAAAACCCTAGTAAGACCACACCTGGAATACTGCAGTGAATTTTGGTCAGCATATCACAAAAAAGATGTTGAGAGTTTGGAAAAAGTTCAGAGAAGAGCAGCTAAGATGATTAAAGGCCTGGAGACTAAAACATATGAAGAACGGCTACGGGACTTGGGTTTGGTTAGTCTAAAGAAAAGAAGAAATAGGGAAGACATGATAACAGTGTTCTAGTATCTGAGGGGCTGCCACAAGGCAGAGGGGGCCAAGTTGTTCACAAAGTGCCAGAGGAAAGGATGAGGAACAATGATTAGAAACTGATCAAAGAGGGAAGCAACCTGGAATTAAGGAGAAACTTCCTGACAGTGAGGACAATCAACCAGTGGAACAGCTTACCCCCAGAAATCGTGGGCGTTCCATCACTGGAGATTTTTAAGAAGAGACTAGACAGTCACTTGTCTAAGATGGTATAGGTTCTCCTGCTTGAACAGGACTAGACTGGACTAGAAGGCCTCCAAGGTCCTTTCCAGCTTCTGTTCTGTTCTATTCTGTTCTAATTCTATTCCTATTCTATTCCTATTCTATTTCTATTCTATTCCTATTCCTATTCTATTCTATGACTTCACATTTGAAGACAAACCAATTAAGGAGTCTTAGAATAGCTGGAAGCAGTTTTTGGCTTCTATCCATCCATCCATTCATTTGTTACATTCATTTGTATCCTGCCCAGTCACCAAGAACCAGGTATATGGTTATATACTCTCTGTGTTCCTTCTAATGGATTATTATCCTGTCTCATTATCTTTGATTTGGGGGAAGAAGAGAAAAGAAAGAATCCTATGCCTTTGTTCATCTTAGGAAAAAAAATTGCTCATGGATTCTCTAATCCAAGAACATGATGAGCCAAATTATCTTCTTATACATCACAAACTCTCTCCCAAAATACTTGAGTGAAACAATTAATGTTATGCATGATTACAACTTGATATATCTGAGTAAAGGGAAGGAAAGAAGCAGTCTCTGAAAATGCACAATGTGCAATAGGAATAGACAGCTTTTGAAAGTAAGAAAGATTTATTTATTCAATTTCTCTAGCTGCCCAACTCAACCAAGTGAATGTGTTTAGTTTATCTGGGCTGTCTGTTATTCTTTAGATTTAGCATGAGATATAACAAGAACATAGATATGATTAAGTTTTATTATTATATATATATATAGCCAAAAGAACCCTGATATTACTTGACTACAAGTGATATCATCTCTAATCATTTCCCAATCATCATCTTGGCTCCAGAATGTCCAAGGAACTATATCGGAAGTTTGGAAAAACAAGAGAAAACACTGGAATTCTATATTGATACTAGATTGGCAATGCTAACTTTTCTTACTGTGGCGCAAAAAGGAAACTGTCAGGAAGAGACACTGACATTTGGAACAATTTTTAAAAATTGTATTTATACAAGTGAAATCATAAATAGTGAAATTATTGTTTTTAATGGCTAAATTAAAGGCACATTCTTTATATGGTTTACAGTACTGTTCATATTCTGCAAATTCTGCAGGTTCAAGAAAGCATTCCCTTTAGTTCCATGGTGGCGAACCTATGGCACGTGTGCCACAGGTGGCACGCAGAGCCCTCTCTGTGGGCATGTGCACCGTCACCCCAGTCCTAGGCCTTCAGCTGGGTTTTATAAAAGTTTTTTGCTTTAGGCTTCACTTTGTGTAAAAAAAAAAAAGGTTCAATCAATCAAGCGATTTCAACTTCTTGCGGGAAAAAAAAAGATCTCGCAAAGTTGGAATTGATTGATTGAACTTTTTAGTCCCACCCAGTCTGCCGTTACCACCACAGCCATGCCCACCAGTGGGCCACGCCCACCCAATGGGCCACACTGACCCAATGGGTCACACCCACTCAATGGGCCATGCCTACCCAATGGGCCGTGTCCACCCGGCACTCGACAATAGATAAGTAGGTTAATAATAATAATAATAATAATAATAATAATAATAATAATAGTAAAGTTGGAAGGGATCTTGGAGGTCATCTAGTCCAACCCCCTGCTCAGGCAGGAAACCCTACACCATTTCGGACAAATGACTATCCAATCTCTTCTTACAAACTTCCAGTGTTGGAGCATTTACTGCTTCTGGAGGCAGGCTGTTCCACTGATTAATTGTTCTCACTGTCAGGAAGTTTCTCCTTAGTTCTAGGTTGCTTCTCTCCTTGATTAGTTTCCACCCGTTGCTTCTTGTCCTGCCTTCAGGTGCTTTGGAAAACAGCTTGACTCCCTCTTCTTTGTGGCAGCCCCTGCAGTTTGGGCACTCGGTCTCTAAAACGTTCGCCATCACTTCTTTAGTTGTTTATACTGAATGACCTCTCACACTTAGTAATGGAGTTTTTTAATCCAAAGTAAATTCTTATCAATGGCACAAAAATAGTCCACATTTTGTAATAAAATGAACTGCAGTATAGAGTGTAAACACATTTTCATTCTCTTTTGATGCATTTCCACCATATTTCCCATTTACATATGAAATAACTTCATAAATCCTCTTTGAAATCCTGATGCAAAAAAAATTTCCTGTGATCCTCCTATGTAAAACAAGGAGATAATAGAATATCAAAGTTAAACAGGGCTATACATATCAATGCATTTTGAAGTCCTTTTAAAGAACCCAGTTTTATTATGAACATTCAGTGGTTATTTTCCTTTTGAAACAACTGAGCACCAAAGGAATGGAAATTGTATCTTTATTTGTATATTCTGTACACAAAGACTTATTGTAGTAAAACCAATTATATGGAAATATACGCACTAGAGCAGAACACTTGGTTTCCTCTTTCCAGCTGTTCCTGTTCTTCAAACAGCAGTCTGTATCTTTTCACAGGCTGAATGCAGATCTATCTGAACATTTTTCCTTGTTGAGTGTGCTGTGAACAGCACTCTGAGATCATGAGAAAGGAGAGTGACAATTGTTCTAGAATTCACACCTGAGATATTTTTGCTTGACTTTTTAAAGGATCCTTCGTTACAAGTTTTCACTATTACTTCTTGGAGAATTCATATCATCGTCCTTAGTCTTCAGCCTGTATTTCATATCTCTGTCAACTCCTTTTTCTTTTAATGGAGAAGCTTTATAAAGCGTGAAAGATGCAGAACCAAATCTCAATTCTCCATTGGTATGAACCTCCCAAAAGGGCCACATTGATTTTGGAGGAAAGAGGGGGTACCCACATCTCTTCTATTCCCTACCCTGAACACCTTTAAGAACTATTAGCCTTTTCTTTGTTATATCAGAATTCTGGAATTTCAAGGTAAAACAGATTTGCTCCATGCTTAACCCCTGCAACAGAATGAATGTTTTGCATATGAACATATATTCACATTTGATACAAAGATATATTCCTGACACCAGGGTGACAACATTGGTTTTGTGGCGGAGAACAAGACATACAAGATAGTTATCAACTTTAGCAAATAAAATCCAAACTGTTGCTCCCTAGCAACAGTTATTTTATTCATGAATCTGTCTTAAAGATTTCTTTGTCACTTACCACATTTTTATTGTTGCAAAATTGTGGAATATTAGAATGAGATGATAGAATTTGACAGGATCACATTTTGGATGCAAATTGTTAACCCTCACTGTTTCCTTCAGAATTTGTTTTTAATGATTTCCATTGCTGCTGCTGCTACTGCTGCTGCCACTGCCCAGTCATAGATAATACAAAGAACTAAACTAACATTTGAATGAAGACTTTTATTGGCATAATTGTTAATCAGTCCTGCTGTCCACCATGAATTCACTGTCTTACTTCTCTTGGAATGCTTTTGGACCGTTGGTTGACTTTGTTTGTCACACACTAAAGCCAGATGTTTAGACTGGATTTGGCATTTTTATCTACTTATTGAGTCATTCCCAAGGACGTAGGATAGGCAGCTGTTGATATTTGATAGTGTTAAATGTTAAACAAGGTATTGTTGCAAGATGTAAGCTGTTCCAATAAAGCTGCCTTTTGCAATTGACTGATGATGAATTTGTCAATGTTGATGGTGTTCAGATTGTGCTCTAATTGTTTGGAATTACACCCAAGACACCCATTACTATTGATACTACCTTTGCTTTCTTTTGTTATTGTTATTATGGTTCATTGCACAGTCTGCCAGATATTCAGACTGGATTTGGCATTTTTGTCTACCTATCGAATCCTTTCCAATGACCCGGGATAGGCAGATGTGGATATTTGATGGTATTGTTATGGTTCATCACACAGCAAGATGTTCAGACTTGACTTTCTGAAATTTATATCTCACCATATTTTTTATGGGAGAGACACTCTTTGTCTGACTCCTCAGATGAGACCTGTCTAGTATGGTTGAACCTCTGGCATAGCTCTCATCTTCCTCAGAGCATACAAGGCCCACAACCACATCAAGGTAGTGCTTCACTGGGAGTATTATTAGTATCAGTATTATCATCACCATCATCATCATCATTCCTGAATTAGGAGCTTTATATATGCACCTGCTATTAACACTGACATGATTCATTGAGTGAATCCTTCAGCTGATCTAGGCAATTATTTTGAACTACTGAACACTTCAGAACAATAGTGTCTGTCTGCTAGGCAGGTGGATATGAATACCTTAACGCTCTTTAATATAGCATAAAGTGGTGTTATTTGGATTGGGGTGGACTTGATAGACCTTTTTTCATGTAAGAGAGTAATCAAGTTTGAATTTATTAAAATAATTAATACCTTTCTCAATTAAGCAGCAAAGTTTTTTTTCTTATCACATTACAGTGTTAGTTTGATGCAAAAATATCTGTTATATTCTAAACTGTATAATGAATGACTACATAAATAAATTCAGTGATTTTACCACCTGCATTTCATTTCTTCACTCTTACGCTCTCTGTTCCTACCAACCATAGCAACATGGGTTTCTATATATTGCTTTCTCAGGGCAATACTCCATGAATTTCATTAATGATCCAGGAAATCTTATGCAATAATACATAGATGAATCTTTAAGAAACCACAAGATTCTCTTGTTTTGCTGTAAAGAAGGCTATACCTGCTTCTCTATGGAGTTCTAAGTGGAGCAGAAATGTTATTGGAAGTGCCAGCATTTTATTGTTAATTTTCAGCTGCAGTGTCACAGCTATTAGAGGAACTGACTAGCTGATATCCTGGGGGTAAGCAAGATCTGATGGGAATCTCTGAGCATCAGATTGGCTAGAAAGACAATCTAATTTCTTTCTCTTGACTACCCTCAAGATTCTTCAACCAGTTAATAGGCACTAAACTTCCTTTTATGTGCTGATGTGGACACAGGCATTGTGTAACACCAGTAAACAACCAGCCTATTTCTAAATATTACAAATTGTGAAAGGGGGCTAATTGTACCAAACCAGATCATGTTTTTTAAACATTGATTGAGCCTAGCTGTTGTTTCTGGTTTTAAAAAACAAGTTTACATGGCAACACTCTGAAAGCAGGATGTACCAAAACTTAAACTGTAAACTGTCTTGAGCAGTCAAACAGGAAGGCATCATATGCATCAGTCAAATAAATAAATGGAAAGATATTAAAAAGAAAACCAAACAGTTCAAATTAGACCAGAGAAGCAATATGCATTCAGAGGATTTTGATGATTTCTGATCTTCATCATAAGTCCAGAGAGTTTTTATGTACCCTCTGCCCCTCTTCTCATCATAGGTTTCAGGGGGTGTTTAACTCTGTTGTTGGATTAAAAGTTTTTTTTTAAGAACATGCTTATTTATTTCTGGTTGTTCAACTGCTACATTTCTTTTTTACAGAGATTGTTGATGGGAATGCAAAAATGACCCTTGGCATGATTTGGACCATCATCCTTCGTTTTGCCATTCAGGATATCTCAGTAGAAGGTAAATCCCAACAGGTTCTTATCTCTTTCAAGAATAGTTATGATGGGGAAAAGTTTGTATATTATGAGTTGCCTCAAGGGAAAGAACATAAAACCTATACTCTGAATGAAGGATACTTGCACGTCAGTGAGAAATTAGTGTTTCTGCTTGATTAATTGCACAGAGGTATCTGAAAGTTGCTGATTCTATTTACAAAATGTAAAGTTAAAGGATTCCAAGTTTGCATTCCCTGACTTGGCAGAAGAGTGGTGGACATAGGCTGACAGCTTTCATGACATTGTAGACCCAGGCTTCTCTTTATTGTTAAGGAACCTGCCTAGGCATTAGGGTCTGCAGGGGAGGCAGAGATCTCTTTCACAGAACTTTTCTGCCTGTCCGCGCTTTTGGAATTCGTTTCTTCAGGAGTCTCAGTTAGTTTAGCTTTCTGAAAGAGCTTCAAGAGACACCTCTTCGGTTTGGCCTTTTTATTCATTTAGTATTATTTCATACTTGGTTCACCTTTGTAATTATTGGGGTATGTCAGGGATTGGCAACCTTGGCTCTTTTATGGCTCGTGGACTTCAACTCCCAGAATTCCTGAACCAGCATGGCTGGCTCAGGAATTCTGGGAGTTGAAGTCCACGAGTCATAAAAGAGCCAAGGTTGCCTACCCCTGGGCTATGTTAATAATTTTGAGCTGATTTGTTTTATATGCAGCAGCATATTGAGAGTATTGATAAAAAGAGGGGAGAATCTGATCTCAGGGCTAAGAGTCTGCATAGCTCTTGGATGTGAGAACACTAAATATTAATTAGAGGGCTGAGAAGTTGAAAACAGCCCTAGAAAAAAAATAGTAACAAATTAATTCCACATTATTGTCCAGAAAAGTACATGGGCATGTTCACATAATCACTGAGTATTTGCATTTGACAGAAAGGAAATTTGACTTTATCTCTCTGAGTGCTTTTGGAAAAAATCGAAAGAATAGCATTCCAGATTTATAATCTATTTTTGAAAAAAGTTTAAAGAAACTTTAAAGAAAGAGCATTTCAAATGAATACTGTGCTGTGGAAATGCAGCATCAGGAGCAGTTGCCTCAGCTGCTGCTTTCTTTTTCACTTTCTTGTGCCAACTGCCAAAAACATCATAAAATCTCAGGAAAGGAAAGGGGTATGGGAAAAATACAAGTGACTGTACTTTAAATTCTTTAAACAAGGCTGATGTACCTTAAATATTTAATACTGAAGTCTATATTTGGTTAAGGCATCAGGCTAGAACTAGGCTTAGGCATGAAAGCCAACTGGGTGGCTTTGAACCAGTCACTCATTCTCTTCCCAAGCTACCTCATAGGGTGGTTGTTTTGAAAATAGGAGTAGGAAGGAGTATAGGATATGTTTGCCACCTTGAGTTGTTTATAAAAAATAATGAAGGATGGATGTAAATAGAAATAAATAAACATAAACATTTATTTTTTAAAATTAAATGCTGCAATCTTTTAGTCCAATGGTGGCGAACCTATGGCACGGGTGCCAGAGGTGGCACTTGGAGCCCTCTCTGTGGGCACACGTGCCTTTGCCCCAGTCTTGCCTCCCCCCGCAACCCCCTCCTCACCAGCAGCCCCCCTGGAGGAGTCGCCCCCGAGCGTGGCCCACCCAGAACAGTGCAGCCAAGGACATGGCAGCCAGGCAGCATAGATAATACTCTGCCCTCATGCCCCATCGCATACAGTTGATGCTGCGGGGCACGGGCAGAGGGCGTGGCTGCCATTGCGCTGCTGGGCGATCGGCGGGCCCTGGAGGTGATGAGTGGCCCTGCGGGCACGCGGGGTGGGGGCGGGGCAGGGGGTGGAGTGTGGGCGGGATCAGTTTTGGGGCACTTGGTCTCTAAAAGATTCGCCATCTCTGTCTTAGTCACTAAAATAATATAACGCACATAATCAAATTGATCGTAAGACTTGTCAACCATTCACATCACAACAATATTTTTATTAAGGCAGTTCATCTTAAATAGTTCTTGTGCATTCTAATGCTTGTACCTCATTATCATAACTTTTAAGTTGAGTAAACTGTTATTTTTTTATTGCTAAGTTGTTAATTTTAGTTTGCATTTTATTATTAGGGTCATTATTATTAATTAAAATTTGCTATGGCGTCCAATGCAGAAGACTCTGGGTTGCTTACTTTTACTTTATTTTTACTATTTTACTCTGGGCTTTCAACATAAAACTGGTTCTTGGGAGATTCTGAAGTGCATATGGAAGGTGCCATCCAGGTCTCCTCAGTGGTTTTAAAGGTCAGAATGATGAAGGAAAACTTGGAACTAATGCTTTTATCTTTTATTCTGTAGAGACATCTGCAAAAGAAGGGCTTTTGCTGTGGTGCCAGAGGAAAACTGCCCCTTACAAAAACGTGAACATCCAAAACTTCCATATTAGGTAAAGAGTATTAAGAGCAGTTCCCTAAAAATATTACTTTTCTGATATGTCACATATCCCAGTTGCACAGCCAGTGCCTGTCCCAAGTTGGAGAAAAATCTCATTTAAAAGATTTGGATGCTGCATAATGCTCAACTCAGCTATCCTTAAACCTTATGTTAAGAACATTCACAATTAACATCGCCACTTAGATGGAGGAGGATGGAGTGTTTGTGCTTTGAACCTATCTGCCAGTTCAGGATTTGAGGGCCACAATTGGCTAAAGGTTTCTTACTTTGTTACCATGGCATCAGACACATCTTCCGGATTGGGATTTCTGTCAAACAATGTGGCATTGATGCAACAGAAATTTTGCCCCTTTTTACATGTGTGTGACAAAAACTCTACGAAACAGTTGGACCTAGTATCACAACAACACAATGCTGCTTTCATAATTTGTTTTTCGCTGACCCATATGCAATTCCCTTTGGTAATGTTAAAACGCTGAAGCTTTTTTTTTTTTTTTAACTTTTATCCAGCCAAAACAAGATAAAGATAAGACCGGTTCAGACTATATTCCCACTTTGCTAAACTAAAGGTTGTCAAGCTAAAAATGAACGCTGGGCTCATCTTTCTTTCCTCATCATTTCATCTGTTGTTAACCTAAACAACAGTTCTTTGTTATACTTGAAACATGAAGGCAATGTCGCTTCATGTTGGTTTATTCAACATGCAAATGGAAAACTAATGTTATGCTGTGGTTTAGCAATCGATGGAGAGATGATGAAAATAACTTTTATAGGATTTAAACTATGTACAATGACATGTAAAATGGCTTTTACATTACTTACAAAGTAATTAATGCAAACTAATGGGTTGAGGAACCAAGGAAGGGAATGTAGTGCTACTGCTACTTTTTTTCCTCCTTTGTCCTTGCCCTACCGAGGCTTCATTCAGATAACACATTCATTTTAAAATACACATTTCTTTAGCAGACCTGTTCCTACCTATGTTTCTGTATACTTCAGCACAGAAAAGTTTCACTGATAAAGCTAGGCCTGAGTTGATCATTAACTGTGGTTGATTAAAACAATCCAGGCAGTGGAGACAAGATGGAAGCAATGCATCATGTTCTAATGACAATGTTTGTGTATTTCCTTTCTCTATTGCTGTCTTCCTTCTGAGCCATTGAAATACAGTTAGTCAACACAACTGTCAAAAATCTATAAAGAAGAAAAATGAAAAGGAATATTATACCTTGAAACCCAGCAAGAAATGCTGATGTCCTTATTCTTTCCTCTCTCATCTCAGTTCTGTTAAAGAAAATATATACTGCTCACAAAAATAAAGGGAACACAAACGTATAGGATCCTATACGTTTGTGTTCCCTTTATTTTTTGGGGCAGTATATTTCACTCATTTGAAGAAACTAGCTCTTGTCGTGTGTCACACTGTATTCCTTTTTATATCTGTAGACAAACTGGAATCATTATTTGCCAAAATCTGACAACAGAAAGAGCAAACAACAATTTAACATTATTTTACTGGATATATCCATTAGTGATTGATAAAACAATATACCTTCTTTATTTTTATTCCTTCCTACCAGGTCCTTCTAAATATGAAACTGGTTGTCTTTTCAAAAATTCTTATGAATAGAAAGTTTGATTAAATCCAAATACAATTAATCTCTGGATGGCCAACTTGTTTTTTCCCCACATGTTGGCCCACAGTTTGAATTGCCCCTGATTGTTGGTTGTGCTGGCTCAGATGAAAAAAGTTTTAAGTTAATAGCATTCGTGATTTTGGAAGATGCCATGTAAATCAACTATATTTTCTCTGCCCAATTGTATGCACAGGGAACATTGTTGCTTTAGACTTTCTTCAATTTGCTGTCTTGAAGAATATAACTAATTCTATTTTGTCTCTTTTATAGCTGGAAGGATGGTCTTGGTTTTTGTGCGTTGATTCACAGACATCGTCCAGAACTTATTGACTATGGAAAACTAAGAAAGGTACTGTGTTATGTTTTGAGATGTCTCAGATTCATAGATCCAAAAAGAATAAAACTTTGGATAATTTTACCTAAGATGAAATAGATTCTCTGAAAAGCTCAAAAAATTGAATTGAGGCAGTCTTTTTTGACCTGGTGTTCTCCAAATGTGTTGGATTGACTCCCAGAGCACATGTGGAAGGTAGTAGGTTGGAAAAGGAAGTAGTTATATGCTGATGAAGAGCAGATCGACAGTTCCTTGGCCTTCAGAATTCTAACTCAGGTAATTCAAATGCTTGTTTTGATTTGCAAAAATTAGAAGGATAGCAATTGGTGACATTTCAATAATGTTTAACATGCGTTTGTACAAATGTGTATTTAGTGTATTTAAACCTCCTAATACAGTTAAATGGACTTTTCAGGAGGAAAACATGGCTGCTAAAGCTGAATATCTATTACATCTGAATTTATTTGGTTCAATTTACAGATTATAATAATTACACCAAAGATGTAAATTCAGTCAACTGTTGAAATTATTTTTTATATAATTGGATTTATCCATCATTTTGGGAAAGTATCTGAATGGAAAATACGTCCACAATTTCTGAAGTTCACTTAACTGAGGTCTGATAAATCACTGTCATTATAATGCTTGTTAAATAGTGGCCATCTCCAATTTAAATCCTATTGCCCATTCTGACTATACATTTTGATACCCATTTATCAGTAAGTTCTAAAAATGCTTTTCCTCAACTGTTACTAAGTTAAAAGACATGGAGACATTTCAGATAACAGGTCATATATATTAGAAAAGAATAAAATAGCTTATTGGAAAATCAAGTTAATCTAATCTTTCTTTACTTAACCTTTCTAAAAGGAGGAACAATTTAAACAAAAATGCAGTGATTGTATGTTTGCTCCAAATGTTATCTATAATATAATTAGTAGTTAACTAAAATGATGTTTCAGCAGCTTTTTAAAAGGTCTTTTTTGTTCCTTGAACATTGTTATATTGAGTTCCCAAATTAAGGGCAAAAGGATTTTATTTTCCTCTTTTAGAAGAAATGTCTTAATTGTCAGCTCCTAGAATGTTCTTCTTCATAGAAGTCTACCTATGCAAATCGTGCAAAGTTCTCCTGTTTCCCCCCCCCCTTTCTTTAAATGTGAAAATAGCGGAGTTAATGGCAAGACGATGTCATCTGGTTCTTGCAGTATACATAGTCTGAACTGAGACCTATGTATATCTATTTATTTGTATGTGGCAGTCAAGATCAACATAAAATAAAAACCAAAACCCATGTTAACCCATATTATAGGCAAAACCAAACATCAAAACTATACATTTTGTCAAGTATCAAAATAAGAAATAGTTATGACCACACCAGATTCCAGCCTTCACTCAACAATATGCCCTTTTCCTGTGCTAAATGAAATAAATAGATCTTAATTGTTTTCCTGAAACCTACAAGAGTAGGAACAATGTGAGTCTCCACTGGAAGGGAATTCCACAAGCAATGGGGGTATCAATCAAAATGCCTATTTCCGGGGTTCAGCTAAATGATAATTTTGAATGTGCAGGATTGAAGAGAGTTGACTTTATTTGATTATTAGATGATTATGTGAGAAAGCAGGGCCACTGAAAACCATCCTCTTCCATCAGAGAGGTTAGTGGGGAAAAATAAGTATAATAATTTTTACAAGAAAGTTAAAAGCATAGCAATCCTCTCTATATAAGACAGTAATACAAATTACTATTAAAATACTCAAAAAGCTAAATAAAAAAATGTGCCTGTAGGTTATTTATAAACTGGAGAAAATAGAAAGTAATCTTTCCTGAAGAAATACGCTATATAAGACCATTGTCCTTTAGTTAAATTTGTTTTCTCTGTCTTCTTTGAGTCAGCTAATCTAGCTTTTCAATGAAATATACTATGCAACTGATGGTTATTGAAGTATTTTCTTGTATTATATATTTACTGCTAATAAAACCGTTCTTTTTTTTAGGATGATCCTCTTACAAATCTGAATACAGCTTTTGATGTGGCTGAAAGATACTTAGATATTCCAAAGATGTTGGATGCAGAAGGTATAGTAAAATCTGATTTTATTTCCCATCTCTTCCTTCCACTCCCCCCAAAGATTCCTCAAAATGCCTTCATGTATTTATTAGAACTTTCAAGTTCTTACTAGATCATTCCTTCCTTATCACACATTTAGACACATTTAGACCAGACTAAGTTCTGATACATCTACAGCAACCACAATCTTAAAATATTGGTCTAATTTTTGGATCTTGCACAATACTAATGCCATTTGATTAATAGGATAACAGAGAAAACATTTTTGTGTACCAGTAGGAGCATCACAGATTTGGGACTTTCTAACGTCCCTCATGATTTTGTTCCAGTCATGAGATCCTGTCATGATCATTAGCTCCATGTAGTAGCAAAATAATGTGAGCTGGGCTAAGACAAATAATAGCAAAGTGGTGTTAGCGCTTTCTTTCACTCGTCCCTAGTGTGTTTTTTGGGCCTCAGTAATAGCTACACACCTTTCTTTGGCTAACTCAGTGTTCCACCTTGGGCAAACAAATTGAATTCTCACCAAACAGTGATATGATAGCGATCTACAATACATAAAGAGAAAATAGAACAAAGGACTAGTCATCCTTTATTGTCTTTTGCCTTTTTAATAGTTTATCTTGACATTTTATTTCTTAGGCCACTGTCCTTTAAATGGGATCAGCACAGGTTCAGTATAACCTTCTGTTCTTGGATATCTGCCTCTAGAATACTAATGTTAAATGTTCATTTCTGCTGTGTTGTCCCTTCCTGTATTTTAGAAACCAACACTGGCAACTGAATTTTAGTTTTATCATTGCCTTTGTTTTTCAGGCCCTTTACACTGCCTTTTTTTTTTAACCTTAAAGTTTGGGAGAACATTTTATTGTTTGCCTAGGCTCTTTCTAGTTGTTTCTTTCTATCTAGGTCATGAATTTTGAGAACTGTTTCTAGAGTGGATCTTAGCTATATACAGAAGCTTAGAACATACTCTGCAGGATGTGACTGCCGGCCTGTCCACTATTTAATTCACTTAAGCCTTCTCTAATTTGGTATTCTTAAGATATCTCCGAACTACATCTCCCAGAATTCTCCAGTAATCAGATCATTGGCTGAGGGGCTCGGGAAGTTGTAGATCAAAACATTAGGAGGCACCACTTTGGGGGACAATCAAAATTAAACAATTATTTTAATGTTCAACTTTATGCCCTGCATAGTTTTAGCTGAGATTCCCAAGACCCCATGCTCTTATACAGAGAGCCTCTGGACTTGCTATCTCAAGGTAAAAAGAAACTCTTTATCCAATAAAACTCTTAGAAAAAATGAATGGTTAGACTCACATCAACCTTTTTTTCCTTGTTGTGCTCTAGAGATTACCTTTCATTCCTTGTTTCCCCTTCAAAGCAGCAAGGAGATGTTGTCAAAAACATTAACATTTGTCTGAAAAATGATCCCCACCTACTCCTATAATCAGTTTGATCTAGGGGTTGAAACACCAAGCTAGAAAGTAGGAGACTGTGAGTTCAAGTCCCATCTTAGCCATGAAAGCCAGCTGGGTGACTTTGAGCCAGTCGCTCTCTGTCAGCCCAATTCATTTCACAAGATTGTTGTGGGGAAAATAGGAGGAAGATACGGTAGATACGTTCGCCAACTTGAGTTATTTGTAAAAATAATAAAAGTGGGATACAAGTAAATAACAATAGTAATAAATAATAATAACTCCTTATCAAATGCTTGGAACACTCAGACCAACAGCAGATAAAAATACTTCACAGGTTTTGGATGGAGGGACAATAGCAGTTTCATTTAGATAAGATCAGATAACCTTTATTGTCATTTTTTTTTACTGTGGGCACACTGGCACACATAAATGAAATTCTGCTGCCTGCTCTGAAAAGTGTGCATATACATAACACACATATAAACATGCTATATACAGCATATGTATATACCTACACCCTTACATATAAATACATGTAAATATTAATCACTGTCCATCTTGAATACTGTATGTAGCAGAAAGAGAAAGCTTGTATGGGACAAATCTGTGACTGAATCTGGATGTAGTACAGTAATCATCTAGAGGTCATATGTTCCATCTTTTTGCTGACCTAATAGACACTTATCCTTTTGGAAATGCTAATCTGCACATTTTTCAAAACCCTTTTTTTTAAGCAGGGGAAAAGAAGCAGGAATAATTGCACTTCAACATAGGAGAACCTTCTCCTAAGTACACCCAAAGAGGCCTTTGTTAAAAACATGGCAAGAGCTAAAAAGTAATTCCACTCTTCACTTGGTGCCCCTCATGCCTCACTTTTTTCACTTCCCCTAAGTTAAGATGCTCTTTAACTTCAGGTTTTCTTTGACAGACATTGTTGGAACAGCCCGTCCTGACGAGAAGGCCATCATGACCTATGTTTCTAGCTTCTACCACGCCTTCTCAGGAGCCCAGAAGGTATCGCAGGATTCCAAGCTCCTTCCACACAGCGCACCTGGTCCTCTTGCTAATGTTCAAGCCTCTTTCTTGCTCTCCCTTTTCTCTATCTCTGTTTCTCTCTCTTTCTCTTTCCTATCCAGCTACGGGCATCTTTGTTATTATTATTTGAGAGCAGTGTTGTCTTAGTGGTACTCCAAGTGTATAGCAATCTGGGAGTGCACATTAATCAAATACAGTTCTACAGTCAGTGATGCAAGGCCAAGCCATTCTCCATATAGGTCTTGTGGCCTCCTTGAAAGCACTAGGAACTCTCCCTTGACCCACTCAGTGCAAGCATTACTCCTGAGATGAGCTTCAGGAACACTTAACATTAATCAGGAAAATAAATAACTGGGCTTCTGCAAAAATGTTTTTTATCCACGATGCCTCAGCAATACAACTTTGTGAATGAAATACTGTAGAAGTTGACAAATAGCCATCATGTCACTTGGTGCAGAATTGTTTTGCTGACGTCAGAAGTCCTTACCCTTTCAAAAGAAATTGTAATAGGGTAGTTCTACTTGTCTTGTAAAACTGCACAGTCTTCCAAAGCCTGGATTTCCTAGATAAGTATGTGTGCATTCTTTTCTTTTAATCCCTTGAAATGTTGCTCGTTCCCCAAGAACTTGACACTGAAGATTATAATTTAATGAATCAATTGTTCCTCGTTGTCTCATAGTTTGTTCTGGATCAAAGGGGTTGTGCAGTACTATTCACATTTGCTTAGAAGTAAATTTGATTGAATTCAGTAAGAACTAATCCTGAATAACTGCAATGAACTGCGGTATAAATAAGAAACTGCTATTTCATGTCAGGTGCACGGATGATTTAGTATCAAGATTCAGGCTGACAGATGCTCTCCATCTTTCATTTAGAAGGCACAGATGTGTACTGGGTATAAGAGCATGAAAACAGAAATTTGGAAAATTAACTGTACAATTCCAAACAAAGATGTAGCATGAAAGTGGATTAGATAAGCTTGCCTTTCTCAGTTTGAACTTGCAAACTATTTCAAAAGTTATTAAAAACCCACATGAAATTCAGCTCAAGGCAGCAATAGGTAGAAGAGTCACCAAAATCCCCTTAAAGGTTTGGGGAATATTTGCAAAATAATTCTGGACTAAATGGGCCTGAGCTTACTCTACAAAAAATGTATGTTCTTAAACATACATGCATATTCCAGATCTTATAGGAATTCAAACAGTTTCATCAACCTGGTGGCTGTCAAACCTGTTAAACTGTTTTGAACTCAACTTTAAAATAGGCCTCTCACTTTTGGTTTGAGAGATATATGTCTTCTAAAATAAAGCAGAAGCAAATCTAAAATATTTGTTATTGTATTTCAAACCTTCCAAATGATTAAATACTTTCAGCATGAAATACATTTCCAGAATTCCCCTATGATATCACTGATCTTGTAATTGTGCTCAGTCTACCATTTCTTGGATAGCAATCCAATATCCAATCTGATTATGCGGCATAGTTGATTTATGATATTTCTATATTGGGCAAGGGATTGATGTAGAGCTTTTTTGCTGCACATTTCTGAAATAATAAGCATTCAGTATCTCCCCCCCCCTTCTGCAGTTACAAACATGAGATTTCTGGAGATTGGGTGTATTTCATAAGATGACATTAAGGGTTGATCTCTCTGACCAGAAGAATCACACAGTGCATATAATCCATTTCCATGAGTGGTTGGCAATAATCACTCTTTAAGGATAACCACCTTGGCAATAACTCTCTCTGTAAGGAAAGTTAACCTGTTGGAGAAAAAGCAAGACTTCTTTGTTTTGATATAGTAAGGCTTAGTAAGGGAGTAGTTTATCAGGAATATTCATGCTAGCCATGCAACTTTGAAGTTACACTGCTTTAAAAGGGAATGCTGGCAATATTTCACAAGATATAGCTTGGCTCTAATTTGCCAAATGGTTTATACACTCAAAAGAGGGCTATAGCTATCAAAGTTTTTCATGAACACAAAGTTTAATAAACAAATAACTCATCCAAAGAAGTTATAATCTTGTTTTGGTTTGATAGATCTACTTTATACCAGGAGTTGGTTTCCTAGAAATTTAATTTTGCCTATTTCCAAGTGGGCTGAATATACTGACTGTGGAGGTGTGTAAAAAACAAAAACAAAATGAAGTTCAATAGTGTCATGTAAAACTGACAGGTGGTGATAACAGGTTCCTGGAGTCCACAAAGCCAATTCTGCCAGTCACATTCTGATTCAAATTCCCAGCACTCCGCATGGAAATCTGTTTGGCCTGTCCTGCAATGCATGATGGGAAGTTTCCCCCCCTCTCTTATCACCCATGACTGTTTTATTTTATTCTGTGTGCTGCTTCTTACTTTATCCTTTCAACCTCTTCTCCTTCTTTGCACAGATATTATAGGCACGCTAAGGCCGGATGAGAAGGCCATTATGACCTATGTTTCATGTTACTACCACGCCTTCTCAGGTGCGCAGAAGGTGAGCCTTTACTCCTAACCACTCCCTCCTCCTCCTATTTCCTGCCCATCAAATTTAGAGAAAATATTATAAACGCTGTCATTTTGAGCTCTAAAATTATCATTCTTAGTATCTTGGGGATTAAAAAAAAAGACCATTAACTTTGCTGAGCCCTCTGTTTCTTTCTTGCAACATAGAAGATCTCTGCTTTTTCCTGGACATAGTTTCCTGCCTACAGCTTCTAGGCTATATTCACACTAATCCAAATTAAGGAAACTTTACAAAGTTCATGTCTTCTCCAACTGGGAAGTTTCCTCTAAGTCTCACTTTTCCCTGCAGGGTTTAGAATCCCTTGCAGCCTCTTAAACCCGATCGTTCTTCAAGACTGATATAGCACTAGTCTACTATTTACAGTAGTGAAACTGTTGGGGGTGTTTAAAAAGGCCAGTTTACAGGTGTTTTAGTAGCGTGGCTATAACTACCATTGCACTAGACAGTTGAGGCCCTGATGCAAGTAGAGCTCAGCCACACTTCTTTTTTTTTTAGATATTTTGCAAGTGCAACCACACAAACTTCAGTGTGGAGTGAAATGCCCAATTAAACCTGTACAGAGGGGTCCTTTTTAAACTCTTCCAATTTTTTTTTCTTCTAAAACATGGTTTCATCTCAAAACTGAATCTTTATCCCAGTTCTTGTGGAGGATAAATTAGAAATAACCCTTAAATGGAAGGAACCATGACTCGTTTTTTCCGAGATGGGGGCAGAATAGAGAACAGACAAACTTTGGCGGAAAAATGTTAAAAGAAGCAAGGATGAGCAGAGCCGTCATTCTGAGTTTGCCCTCCTAGGTTATTGTTTCGGTATCTATATGGAAAAAACTGTAAATGAATGCCATTGTTTATGATTTGTTTCCTGTAGTGAAAAAAAAGCCAGCCGTGTCAAAGGTTTTATTTCTGTTTTTTGTTCAATAAGCAAGAGGATTCCATTGCTATTGGCTATACATACGAATAGTAGAGTTATAGATTCCAGCTTATTTACAATTGTAGACATAAACTTGCTCTTTAGAATATATGTAATCACAAAAAACAAAATCCCTCTCTCCTGTTGATAGTGTTTTAATATCAATGTGATCAGAACATGCCTATATGGATCCTCCCAAAACAACTTTTTTTTAAAGAAGAGAAATGTGTCCAATTTTCCAGATCCTCCCTCAGCAAAAGACTTCTCAAGAGTCATTCTGAAAGCCTCAGAGCTTTCCTCCACATTAGATATTCTTCCAGGGTGAGGAGAAAACTCTAAGGCAGTGTTTCTCAACCTTGACAATTTTAAGGCATGTGGACTTCAACTCCCAGAATTCCACAGCCAGCAATGCTGGCTGTGGAATTCTGGGAGTTGAAGTCCACATGCCTTAAAATTGTCAAGGTTGAGAAACACTGCTCTAAGGCCACTTTAATACTTAAATGCAGTTTTAAGTCCTGTCCTATTTTGCTTTCCCAAACCTGGAACTCATCTTTTATGTGCTGGAAACCCTACATTGGAGTGAAGAATTTCATTTACACTCCAGCAAGCTTGGAGGGCAACTAGTTGGGGTACAGCTATATTAATATCTAGTCCTAAGGCTAGATTGAATTACGCCAGTTTCTGCATACTTCTTCTTTTTCTTGCTTATCCTTGCTTCCACCTCTTTGTCTTCTTCTGCCACTCAGTGGTGTTCCTGGCATTATTTTTTTCTTTGTGTCATTTGTGATGTTTTCTTATCCTTTCAGCTTTATTTTGTTTTTTAAATCCTCTATAAACATCTCGCCATTGTTTTTTTTTTTTTTTTTTCCATGCCATACTAGCTAGCTGCTCTTCCCTTGACTTTTTGTACTTGGGCACAGCCTGTATTTGCTTTCTACTGATTGTGTGCAGTTTGTAGAAATACAACAGCTTCTGTGTGTCATTCAGAATTGGCATTAATACATTTATCCATACCTGAGTATAAGCTACCAAGGGGAAAGCAGCCTTTGGTCCGTGTACTTATAGCTTCACATTGGATCCTTGTGCTCACTTGAGGACAGTTGTTGTGAGGCTTAATCTTGCTCACTATACAAGGCAATCTTAGAAATGTCACCCTAACTTTTTCATTATGTAATCTTCTTATAATAACAATTAGCGTGCACATTTTTATTTTTTCCCCAAATTAATTATCAAGCCTATATGGTTTTGAAATTTGCATTAAACTAAGTTGAAAGTACAGAGCCAGTTCATGTGTAGTTGATAAGTTGCATTAGTTTCTGATTGAGTTGTTTCTAGTAGTATCTCATTGTCACCTTGGAATTGATAGAATTGGGCAAAAAAGTGATTATTTAGAAATTATACTTTGCAGAAGGATGTTACTGATAGATCTTCTTAATTTGTGCAGATATGTGTGTTTTAAAAGAACACATTTCACTCATTCCCCTTTTAATATGAAAAAAATTAGTTTGAGAAAAATGGGATATAAATCTTCAGATTTTCAAACATCTGTGTTACCAGTTTACTTACCTTCAACTTTTCTAAAGCTGCTTCAGTGCTTAAGAGACAACATGGATTATAAATACAACATGCTTAGAATGGTGCAGAAAACTTTGCTTAGTTCTGCTTGAGACTGTTGGAAAATCCTCTTCTGTAAATACTCTGAAATGTAACGGAAGGCAGAGTATACATCAACATATACAGAGTTGGTTTTTAAACTTACCATATTTACAATTAAAGAGTTTTGTTTGAATACATAGATTCAGTTTCATTTCTTTGGAAAGTAGCAATTTGATAGAAGTTTTTTAGCAGGTTTCAATATGTTAACTGAAACCCTTGTCAGTAAATAAATAGAAATATATACTTTTTACTACTCATTTTAAATAACAATTCAATATTTCATTTCTTTAAGTGATAGGTGAACACAACTGTTAAAATAACATTTCCATCCACCAGTGATTAGATCCTACGTTTTGCTGCAATTAACATTGTTATCCATCTTGTTAGAAAGCTTTTCTCAGTTAAAAGGTATTTTTCATGGAACAAATAACTGGTGTAAAGTTTATTAAAAATAATTGATTGATATCTGCCTCCCCCAATCTGATAGCCATGAGAGGAATTGGACAAAACAATGCATTGGATGGAGACATGGGAGTTAAATGTTCATATAACATGATGAATCTGGCCCAAATCATAAGTAACTGTCTTACCTGGAATTGGTTATCAGTCAAGACAGAACTATTGGCTGACTTAGTTATATCAGAAACCAGTCACTTTGGGTAGAATTCCCTACACCTTTGTGTAGTTGATAAGACTTGTGTTCCCTGTTTCAACATTTCACAAAAATTGTGGTTACTGACAAACTCATGCTTCCTGTTTTGTTTCACAAAAAGCCCCAGAACAAGTAAATGATGTAAAAGTGGAAATGGGGGTGGAAAGCCTTAATTTTCACATTCCCATCTACCTGCAAGAAAGTGGTAAAATTAAGAAATACACAGTCACTCTAGCTTCTCCCTTTTGTGTCTTAGGACTGGAAGAAAGGATTCAAGTTTGCTTTCTTTCAGAATCTCAAATAATGCAAAGATCCTTGATTTAGTTGAAGTCTTAGCCCACTGGTTAACCCTAGGTACACAAGAGGCACAATCAGGATGAATCTGACTCAGAAATGGCCTGGCTATAGGGTGTGCATGACATCTTGGGTCTTTCATTGGCTTTGGAATGGGATAACTCGCTACGGTCGACTCGCCCCAGCTGACTTGCATGGCCCCCTCATCATGGGACAATTCAACACAGGATAATTCAAGAGGAGGATAAAAGGGACTCCACGCTCTGGCTCACCCCAGCCTCGAGGACTTCTGACTTGAGAAGGTTCAAACCTAAAGCAAGACAAGGCCCACTGCAATTCACTTGTCCCTCTTTTGAGTTATCTTTGGCGAGTTGACTGCGGCAAGACGGCTGGGGTGAGTTGGCCAGGGCAAGCTGTCCTAGACCGCATTGGCTTGGTTAAGGGTCTCAAACTATGACCATTTTAGAAGGGAATGGGGTGGGGAGGCTGGCCTCAAGGATTTGGTTCCTCTGAAGCTTTTTTTTGGCCCATTTCTGTTAGCCAGCGGGGCTAATTCACAGTGAGTGTGTAGCGTTTTGGTGCAGGCTTAGGAGCACATGGCTATCTTTTCAGGTTCCACCTTCATTCTTGACTAGGTGATTTACTGTGATGTCACTCCATTTCTCATTCAGATTTCTCATTACTGCTACCAGCTCTGAAGGGGAGGTCACATGATCAACTTTCTGCTTCTTTCATTCTGTTATACTGAGTCACAGGTACAGGGCCCCTGCCTGTCATGATATGTGTGTGTATGTAGGATTGCTTTTCTTTCATTTGATTTGTATGTGTGTATGGGGATGGGGGTGTTATCTGAGTGTTTCTCTAAATATACACCTGCTATGGTCAGTTTGCTTCCTTTCCTCCCCAACTGCTTCTAACTTTCATAACTCTAAAGTGCATGAGCATTTTTAATTGCTAAGTTGGTACTTATACCATGTTTTTAATACTTTACTTTGTGGATTTCTGGAAATAAAGCCTTTTAATTCAGCTTTAGTATTTTTTACGTTTCCTGAACAGATGGATATAATAACATTGACTTTCACTTATGGATTAACTTAGGAGCAAAGTGCATTCTGCAGTAACCATGTTTATTCTGTATTTTCTTAATGTGATAATGAAGCAAAGAGGTGAGCAAAACTTGTAAAATCTGCAGCTCTCAGAGGCACTGCAATCTGGCATCTTTCAGAGAAATTCTGGATGAGTTTTTGTCCAAGCAATTCCCATGCTTAGCTCATTAATTAAAATACCCTTTTTAAAAAACTGGACAGTGACCCAGAAAAATGGTGCATTCTATAAGTGAAATTTTAGGACAAACATAGCTTGGAAGAAAACTTTTTACCACCAAAATACAGTAAAAAAATACAGTTGAAAAAAACCCCTTCAAAATAATTGGATCCTTAATAGAGAAAACAATCAGTTCACATAAAGTCCATAGATCAATATTTTTCACTCTGTATTATACATATACAGCACAATATATTTTATGAGCAGTTAATGTGAAGAAGTGAATTTTGTAACACAGAAAGCTAATTTCTATCTTCCTGAGCCAGTGCCTCAAGAATATAAGCTACTTACAGCTGGAATTTTAACCACCTGCTTAATTAAAATGGTTAAAAGTATTTGCATGAGCCAAAGCACAGTGTTCTGTAAACAGCTGAGAATTTAATTATTGTATATTATGTGACATAACTAAAACTTATTATTTAATAATAATAATATCAACAACAACAATAATCTGTTCACAACAATGTGAAGTCACAGCTGCCAATTCTTTAGCTGGTCTTTGCCTTCATAGGCATCAAGTTCTTCCCAAGAACCTAGAATGTCACAATGCATCAGTGTTGTATATATGAAGACCAAAGTAGTGTGGCCTTTTACAATTGACAATTATTATTATTATTGACTGACTTAAAAGCTTAAAATCATTAAAGTTTCAGTGTTCAGAGAACAGTACTGTACTGCACTCTAATTAGAAGATGCAGATCACATATGCAAAATAATAAAGCATTTAATCTAATGAATAAAGACTGCAAGGTAACATTTTTATTATGTCTCTTTTAAACTCAGGGCACACCCACTTCCTAGAGAAAAAGCAAGACAATTTTGTTGTTTTGTTGATCTTTTCTGATATCAAATACTTTGCACCAACCTGGTTGTCAGGATCAGAGGAGATTTAAAATAACTGACTATACTTTCTACAGAGTATGGTATGGATGCTACCTCTTTAATTTGAGGTGATATACAGTAGCTATTTATTTTAAAATAGATATTTGTTCATTTTGAGTACTATTATTTATTATTTTTTTCTTTGCCTCTTCACTAAAAAATTTTTAAAGCAAAAACTTAGTTCTCTGCCATTGGTGGCCCAGTATAATAATCTAAAGAAGTTTTGGAACACTTTGGAACAAAACTTGGACTTTGTCATTTATTTTGGCCATTGTGATAGGATACAGAAGTTGAAACATGGTTAGCAACCAGTAAAACCCACAAGAATGACAAGACAGAAAGTTACAAAACAGTTGCTCTTGTTTTTAAAATAAAATTATTGTCAAGTGAAATTTTGGAAATAATTGAGTTGAAATAATATTGCAGCATAGATAGCTCCTGACATCGGCATTTTGCTGGATGTACAAAAGGACAAGTGATGTCACGTTATGAGAGCATCATTTGCATAATTTGCCTGATGACCTTATGACTCACGTGGCATCATTATATGGTTTGTGCCAAATGCTTATCCTCATAACAATTGTTTTTAACTGGGGTCTGAATTCAGGGCTTATTGCTTTTCTTCCTCTTGCTTCCATTGGTTACTTCAGGCCCTTTTACCTTTGATTATTTGGTTTTAAAGGATGAAAAAAAAACACACTATTTCAGGTTGGACAAGTTCACATTCAAATTGAAATTCCCAAAATGTGCCTCTTGTCCTAATCTCCCAGATGCAGTGGTACTAATGAGTTTTTGAAATATTAAAAAAAAATGGGACAAGTAACATTCTCTTAGAAATGGGTTGGACTTTCTCTTATACTGTAATAGGAAGAAACATGGAACATCTTTGCTAATGATAGCGTTTTTTTTCTCTTGTTCTCTTTCTCTCTTGTTAACAGGCTGAAACAGCAGCCAATCGTATCTGCAAAGTGCTGGCTGTGAATCAAGAGAATGAACAGCTAATGGAAGACTATGAGAAGTTGGCCAGTGATGTAGGTAGCCTTGCTTTCAATTTCTTTGGTATAGCCAGGAGAGTTCTCTAGAACAGTTTAATTTACTGGAGTGGAGCAGCAAATATGCGAGGAAGGAAGAAACAGAACAGCATTGTTATTTACAGCATGCTATTTTTATTATTTAGTAGATTTATATGGCCTCCTATTTCAACTCTGGGCAGCGAACAATATTTTAAAAAGCTAAACACATATAGAGTAAACATAAAACATTCAACAACCAGGAAAAAATCATAAAAACACTAGGCCAACATTCAACATAATCAGAAAATGGACTCTTCTCCTCCAGGGTCCCAGGCTTCAGAACAGAGCCAAGTCTTCAAGGTCTTTGAGCAGGGCAACAGCAGCAGGACCAAACTAGTCTCCAAAGGGATAATATTCTAGAGTGCAGACCCTCTGAAAGAAAAAGCTCTCCTCTGAGCCCTATCAGCCAACACATAGTTGGGATCTGAAGCATGCTTCTCTTTACGGTCCAGATGGGACAGGTAGAGACAGCTGGAGAGCCCCTGTCCCAGGGAAGTCAGTATAGAACAGTGATGGTGAACCTTTTAGAGACCCAGTGCCCACACTGCAACCCAAAACCCACTTATTTATCACCGGTGCCAGGTGGGCGTGGCCACAGTGGTCATGGCAGACTGGGTGGGCGGGGCCAGGGCAGTGGGGAGCCAGTCCCTCGCCATCTCTGGGACACGGTATGCGTGCCCACAGAGAGGGCTCTGAATGCCGCCTCTGGCACACGTGCCATAGGTTCGCCACCACTGGTATAGAATATAACAATCAAAATCTTTGTGAACAATTGCAGTGGGGGTATGCTACTGCCATGGCTCTTGAGATGGTTCCTGGAACTGTGGCTTCATAGAAAATTTCTCAGTATTTTATCCAAGTGGATTTTAAATCTATAGTGAGTACTGATATCAGCAGTTCATACTACTAAAATATCTGAGTTCTCTAGTATAGTAATCTAAAAATGGTATGCATAGAAGCAAGGTTAAGTAGCCAGCTATTAATTGATAAATATAATAATAGCTCGTTCAGATTTGATCTGTAAGATAAAGAGATGCACATTATGACCCAGCTTTGTGAGGTAAAGTAGACAGAAAAAAAATGGGCAGATGAGCTATTTCTACTTTATTGTAGGATTACATTAACAGAATTCCCACCCTCTTCATAGCTCGAGAAACTAGCAAGGGTCTCTTCTGAACCTCTTGCCTCGCTCACATTGCTTCAGGCTGTCTTTGACCATTCCCTTAGCTGCATTTCTTTGCCTTGTCTGCCAAGGTCCTTCTCACATACCATTACACTCAGAGAATCTTTGGTCTTCTAAATGTTTCAGCAGTTATCTTTAATCAAGACAGTTCCACACGACCTGAAGAACTGCTGCCTCTCCCCTCATGCTATAAATATACCAGTCTTCTCTTCAGATAGGTCCCTACCTAATACTAAGCCTGCCTCCCAAAACCAGTCTCAGGGATGAATGAACACATATGTCATGCGGCTGTAAAGACAAAAGGGAAAAACGCTCCCTCGGGCTGAATTTAATGTCTCTCCGTGTGATTTGCCTGGCAGTGATAAAGAAGAGGTTTGTTGTGGCCTTCTTCCAGAATATTTTTAAGACTTCCCAATCTAGCCAGAGTCTTGACATTTTCAAATAACCTTCCATCCAAATAACTAGTCAGGTTCACTCAACTTAATTGGGGGAACCAGCCAAGCTTGGCCGGGTGCTGCTACCTGCTATGGAAGAAAATGCAAAATTTCCCAACAGTAATCAAAGTCTCAGCCAAGTTTAGTACTAACTATGATTTTAGTTTCCAGCAATTCTGACTTTTCCTTTGTCGGCATTTTCAGCTTTTGGAGTGGATCCGACGCACCATACCATGGTTGGAGAATCGAACGCCTGAGAACACCATGCAAGCCATGCAGCAGAAACTGGAAGATTTCCGAGATTACCGCCGCCTTCACAAGCCTCCCAAAGTCCAAGAGAAGTGCCAGCTGGAAATCAACTTCAACACATTGCAAACCAAGCTGAGGCTTAGCAACAGGCCAGCCTTCATGCCTTCGGAAGGGAAAATGGTTTCAGTGAGTGTGATAGATTAATGAGTTCGTAATACAATAACTTGGCAAAGTGGGTTTCCTACTGTTACTGCTGCTTTCATGGGCCAGTGGAACTCAGTTTCCTAGAACTCAATGTATATTGGTTGCTATGGGCCTTATTACAACTTATAGTAGCCACAGATTATAAATTGCCAAGTGGCACTATTCTAACAGATTTCCCTTTCTAGCTATTTAGAAAATACACACACCCCCAGCTTCCCATGAATTAGCTCGAGCAATAGAATGATCTTCCATGGTCAATAGGGGACTTGAATCTGAATCTCTTAGTCCAATACCATGTTATACCATGGTGGCTGTTTTAGAACAGAAATCTCATAGCACCGAAGAGCTATATATTAGAGAAGGCAGACAGCATCTTCCTAGATCTGGAGCGTCCAACCTTGGAAACTTTAAGACCTATGGATTTCAAATCCCAGAATTCCCCAGCCAGCATCCACAAGTCTTAAAGTCTCCTCTAGAATCAGTGGTTCTTAACCTTTTTGAACGAATCGCCCCCTTGAGCCAATGAGGAAGTTGTCATCGCCTCCCTCTCAATCACAACATAAGAAATAATTCTTCAATTTATGCAGACACTTTTTTTGTTTTCTTTAAAATTATCATCTGGACATATCGGTGCAAATAATTTATTTCCAGTCTTTTTCCCATATCTCAACTGTGTGAAAAATGTTGGTGCTACCTGTCACTTTATTCCCAAACATGTATTTCATTATTATCTTATTTATTCAAGACACTTAAATGTAATGACCACTGAAAAAAAATTCAATTGCAAGAAAGTGAAATGCCCGAAAAGAAAAACAGTAACATTTAATGATTGAATTACAAGTGAAATTTAAGACGCAAAAAGAAATATAAAAAGGGCATAAGAACAAACCGCAATGAGCATGAAGATAAGCGATGCGTATTCACATATGTACGGCATTCTGTACTGAAGCTAGCTAGAAGAACATTTGAAACACAATTCAATCCACTAATAGTGAGCAATCTGATGTTTTTGTACGACAGATATACAGCGATTCACTATACAAAGAAGTCTCAAATTGTCCCCAAAATGTCTCACTCCATTGCCCCCATATCACCCCCTTTTTGTTCCTTCGCCCCCGTGTTGCCCCTTTTCATTCCATCGCCCCCCTGAAAAATGAAATCGCCCCCTGGGGGGCAATATCGCCCAGGTTAAGAACCACTGCTCTAGATGATGACAGGAAGTGACCTCTTTTTAGACAAACTTAGATAAAGAGGAAACTCTAAGAATCACTGGAGGGGATTATATTATCAAAATCTCTGAGCAAATTCCTCACCATCATATCCGTCTCAGGAGAGAAACGAAAATACATCCCTCTGCAGGAGAATTTCAGGCCTTAGCAACTTAAAACATTAGCTAGGGAATCTCTTCAAATAATCTGTTATCTGGCCCAGTCCTTTCTGATTACAGTAGTTAACTGCCTTTAGCCCCGACCTTGTATTGTCTCAGATCTCCTTCCCAGAGTTTCATTATTTGCTTGCCGATCTATCTGCCAGTTGTTGCCACCCATTCATAGTGGGATTGTAGAGGCGCACCGAACTTAATTCTCACGGTGTTGAGAAATGTTTCAATTATTCTGAATCCATCTGCCTTTTTTTGATAGTGTTATACTTCTGCTCTGGTTACTACAGGATATAAATAATGCCTGGGGTGGCCTGGAGCAGGCTGAGAAAGGCTATGAAGAGTGGATGTTGAATGACATTCGACGATTAGAACGACTGGAACATCTGGCACAGAAGTTCCGACAAAAAGCTTCCATTCATGAATCCTGGACAGACGGTAACACAACATATAAAAGTGTCTTATTATTATTAGAGATTTGTGTAGTCTAGACAAGATGGAAATGGGGAATGATAAAAATCATCAAGTTAGTAGGAACAAAACTTTGAGACTGCTTTAACTTGCAGGACTGATGTATATGCATATACATGAATACAATTATTTATCTACATAAATGACAGTATATTAATATATTATATATACTTCAATAGAAGAACAGGGAAAAGCTTTCTACTAATAGAACTTTTAGGGTGTCTCCAGATCCCAGTTCTTAAACAACCTCCCCACTCCAGCCAAAAAAAGCCCATTATTTGAGTTCTGTACATCTGCTTTTCAGGACCTATGTCAGTTCATTATCCTATAATTTCATTTGTTCATTTAATCAAAGCATTTTTGAGAAGAAAACATTCTCTGTGCTTAATATACATTCAACAGTGAAAATGTTGTCCAATTTTTATCTTCCCAGATCAAGTCAGGACATCCTGTAGTGGGTATCCTCTTCCTACTGGCTCCCAGAGGCGGGGCTAAAATGTTTTAATCTTGCTTGGTGTGGGAAGGGGGAGGTGACCAGGACCCCCTTAATTGTGTCACCATCCTTGAGCCAAATGTTATTTTCAGCCTTCACTGGCTTATCATTGCTCCAGAGAGCCTGCAAAACACACATTCAATTCACCACTAAGGGCAGGGAAGCGCCTCATTTGATCAGATGGCTCCATCAAGAAATTTGCCTCCTGGAGATGCTACAATTTTTAAACATCAGATATTCCCCATAGGGCAAGCCATGTAATCATTAATTGGGCCATGCCACAACGAATTTAGGCTACCCTAGTCATCACCCATCCCATGGGGGGGGGGAGGGTGTGGAACAATTAAGAAGGTACAACTTGTGACTTTCTAGCCAGTTGTCAAGAGCAGGCCTCTCACCAGTCTGCAGCAACAGATGGTAGCTCCATAGATTCATTCCCATGGACAACCCCCAATGGATTCCCCTCCTCTTCCAGAACTTAAGGATGTAATAACCCCAGAATCAGCCTTTGACCCCAGAATCAGCCTTTTGGGGCAGGCTAAGCTAAGAAACAGGAATTCCAGAAATGCTACTTTATTGTTACAGGATTTATTAACAGAGTCTTGAAACCTTGTCCAAGATTCTTTCCATCTAGTCTTATACCAAACAAAATCAAGGCTGGAGTTCTTTTGAATTTCTTTCTTATGCTTTCCTGTGTCTCTGGACAAGGTAATATTTTTTCTAAGTCCTTCTTCAACAGTTCACTTCTTCTTTCTCCCCTTAATACACTCTTATACATTCCCCAACCTGAAATTCCTTTACACTCAGTGAAGTTGAAGAGCTCCCTCAAGTGGTGGCTCCCATCTGACTGAAAGACAAAAAGGACAACTACAAAAAATGGAAAGAGGGACACATAACTAAGGCTGATTATCAGCAGACAGCCAGAACATGCAAAGACGAAGTCAGGCAAGCAAAGGCTCAGAATGAACAAAGACTTACAACAGAAATCAAGGATAATAAAAGTTTCTTTCAACATATTAACAACAAGAAAAAAATCAAGGAAACTATAGGTCCAGTAAAGAGAGAAGATGGCAAGGATGTAACAGGCAATAAGGAGAAAGCAGAGCTGCTTAACTCATTCTTTGCATCAGTCTTCACATAAAAAGAAATTATAACTCAAAATGCCAAAAAAAACACCACCCTACTGCAAAAGACAAACTAGAAACAAAAATTAAAATAAGCAAGAAAATAATAAGAGAACACCTATCCAACCTTGACGAATATAAATCACCGGGACCCGACAGATTACATCCTAGAGTTCTGAAGGAGCTGTCAGGTGTTATCTCAGAACCGTTGCACCACATCTTTCATAAATCCTGGAACACCAGGGAAGTACCCAAAGATTGGAAAAGGGCTAATATGGTTGCCATCTTCAAGAAAGGGAAAAAAACACACCCAGGAAACTACAGACCAATCAGTCTAAGATCAATACCTGGGAAGATCCTAGAAAAGATAATCAAGAAACAGATCTGCGAACAACTAGAAGCAAACAAAGTTATAACTGGTAGCCAGCACGCGTTTGTTAAAAACATGCCAAACCAATCTTATTTCATTCTTTGATAAAGTGACTAAATTAGTAGACCAGCAAAATGCTGTGGACATAATATACTTAGATTTCAGTAAGGCATTTGACAAAATAGATCACAATCTACTGCTTGGTAAGTTAGAAAAAGGTGGAATAATTTATATCACCACCAGATGGATTTGTAGCTAACTGACAAGCCGTACTCAACGAGTAGTCCTCAATGGTACTACATCCACATGGAGAGAAGTAAGCAGTGGGGTACCACAGTTAGGCTCAATACTCTTCAGTATCTTCATCAATGACTTAGATGAGGGAATTGAAGGGGAACTAATCAAATTTGCAGATGACACTAAACTGGCAGGAATAGCCAACACCCCAGAAAAAAGCTCAAGATCCAAAAAGATCTTGACAAATTTGAACAATGCGCTCTATCCAACAAAATAAATTTAATGTGGAGAAAAGCAAAGTTTTACATTTAGGCAGGAAAAATCAAAGGTATAAGTACAGATTAGGTGAGACCTGGTTTAAAAACAGAAACTGTGAGGGGGACCTTGGAGCCCTAGTGGACGATCACTTGACTATGAGCCAGCAGTGTGCAGCAGCAGCCAAAAAAGCTAATACAATCCTGGGTTGTATAAACAAAGGCATAGAATCAAGATCACGCGAAGTATTAGTACTGCTTTATAAAACACTAGTAAGACCACACCTGGAATACTGCAGCCAATTTTGGTCACCATACAACGAAAAAGATGTTGAGACTTTGGAAAAAGTTCAGAGAAGAGCAGCTAAGATGATCAAAGGCCTGGAGAGTAAAACATATGAAGAACGGCTGCAGGACTTGGGTTTCCCTAGTCTAAAGAAAAGAAGAAATGGGGTGTCATAATAACAGTATTCCAGTATTTGAGGGGCTGTCACAAAGAAGAGGGGGTCAAATTATTCTCCAAAGTACCAGATGGCAGGATGAGAAACAATGGTTGGAAACTGATCAAAGAGAGAAGCAACCTGGAATTAAGGAGAAACTTCCTAACAGTGAGAACAATCAACCGGTAGAACAGCTTGCCTTCAGAAATCGTGGGCACTCCATACTAGAGGTTTTTAAGAAGAGACCAGACAGTCACTTGTCTGAGATGATATATGCTGGACTAGATGATAGGGCTGGACTAGAAGACCTCCAAAGTCCCTTCCAGCTCTATTCTATTCTATCTTACAGGAGGATCTTTACAACCTTCTCACCAGGTCCAACTCTTACAGATGTCAGGCTGATGACCATGCTTAGTAGCCTGGGAAATCTAGCAAAAGCAACAGCAAAGACCAAAATAAGCTTTCTGGAGCTTCATACAATATCTTCAACAAATTCCATATCAGGCAATGGGGAATCAGCAGTTTAATTTAGCTAATGAAGGAAGCAATTGAGCTCTATCCTGACTGAAGAAAATATACCATGGCTTATGGCAGAGTATGAATAAGGAATCCATGACATATCTGCATACCGGCTCAGTTGCAAAGAACCTGGGGAATGAAGTCTTGATCTCAGAGTGTTCAAGCAATTTGTTGGGTTTTTTTTATGTTTGGTGGACCACCAGCACATCTTTGGTCAACTTCAACCAATGACAGGCTGGAAAGCTTCATTTCATGTTTTCCAGCAGAGGAAAAAGACCACAAATGTTTTTAATTGGCACTAAAGATCTACCACAGACTTTCTGCAATTCCTACTAATTTCTAATGCTCTCATTATTGCAATTATATGTGAGGAGAATGAGAGGATCAGCTTCTGTTTCAAATAGCAAAGAGTTAGAGCTTGAGCTTGGGAGAAAGCTAAGCCTCCCCCCTAAAAAAGGTCAAGTAGCAAGATTAGCACAAATGCTCAGGAAGGCATTAATTCTCCTGGCCCCATGCCCCACAAATGGAACTTTGTCTTATTACTCCTGGAATGGATACTGTGGATATCTTCCACTCTAGATTATCAGAGTACAGTAGATCTCCCCTTGTCTGTATTTAAAACCTAGCTGCAAGTAACAGGGAGGAAACTCTCCATGGATTGTTCTTTGCCTAATTTATAGCTCAGTCGGTTTTAGTGATACATGCTAATTGGTTTGCAACCAAGCACATTGGAAATGTGCTAATTGCCTTTGTTTTTTTGCTGCTGTAGGACACTTGGTCTGCAAAGCTTTATTGACCCTGGTCTCCAGGTGGTTCAAAACTTGCATCAGATTAACACTTACCTTGGTGATCTTTGAAACTCTTACTGGATTACACCTATAAGACTTCCACATGATCTTCCTCTTACTTCTTTAAGTCAGTTCTTACATTTCAGTCAAAGTTTCCTTTGGTGGAAGTTGTGGCTGTAAATGACAGCTCGCAAAGACTTGGGGTGCTTTGGATATAATACCCTGCCTCCAGATATGTCCCATTATAAGACATCTTGACTTTGCTACATGAAAATAGTACATTAAATCATACCATGAAGGTCAATTTTCTTTCGCAGGGATAGGGCATCTACCTTATCAGGCATGGCAAAGTAGAGGGCAGATGTGCAGGGACCGTCAGTTATACAAGTGTCATAAGGACTTTATGCTTACCTTTCTCAAGTTTATTTCGTTTTATATCTCTTTTTTGGGCTGTCATAGTGAAACTGGCAAATTGGCTATCCTCTCCCACACTCAGCAACATTGAAAGATTTTTAGCATTCCAGTCCCACCCTTGGAATAAATGGAAGGAAGATAACCTCCAATAGGATAGCTTATGTCAGTTCCAGAAAATGGGAGGGCTGAAAAATGATTGAACTTAAAGGGGATCAGACATAACAAAATAAATATGGTGGCTTTGAGTCAGTATTTCACAGAACAAACCTTATTTCTTACTAATATGATTAGCTGCTAAAAGGAACTTCTATTAGAAGATACGTCTTATATAAAATGATCACTTTTATGCCCTTTATTCATTCATCTTTGTTGTCCACCTCTTGATAGGCAAAGAAGCCATGTTGCAACAGAAGGATTATGAAACTGCTACCCTCTCGGAGATCAAGGCTCTGCTAAAGAAACACGAGGCATTTGAAAGTGATCTTGCTGCTCACCAGGATCGTGTAGAACAGATTGCTGCTATTGCACAAGAACTTAAGTATGACTTCCATACATGCTGTTTACTTTTTCCTGGTTGATGCTCTTCTTCTCAAATTCAATTCTGCTCCTTTTTAAATCAGAAGTTTAGAGAAGCACACACTTGAGCACCCAAAAAAGAACTGTTGGGATGAGAGAGGGAACTATGCACTAACAAACCATGGGAGATACATGGCTGGTGTGCGTAAATTACATATTTCATCATTCATTTGTGAGACTTAATTTTGTCTGCAAGCTGAAATAAGGATACCCAGGCCCATAAATCAGCCTTCCTCAATCTAGTACTGTCATTCCCAGCATTCCCAACCAGTGTGGAAATAATAGTAATTATCTCTTGGGCATGAGGTTAACAAAGACAACTATCAAGAGGAGGTTAATAATTTGCTTTGACCTGAACTCCATTTTTTTTATGATTTTGCAAACATTTATGTTGTTTCCAGTCTACCTTACATCCTAAGGATATATTAAGCAGGTATGGCTCATCTTAGCTTTTTGAGCTCAGCTAAGGCAGTAGAGGTATCCTCTTAGTGACCAAGAGATAATTTAAATTCAGGTACAATAGAATTAAAACTTAATTGGGTGTAGACAAGGCTGATGACTACATAGCTCTCACTAGTACCGGATTTTCATACAACTGATGACTAAGAAATTCAAGGCACATAGAAAAAAATAATGTGATTTGCTGCTACAAAATTATGGGAGATAAAAACTATGAAAATATATCAGAAGAAATCTTTATGTGTAAAAGTATTCTGGACAAAGCTGGTCAGAATGGATAGCAGGATCTTGGGTTAGATGGACTTTGTTTTCTCCAGCATAACTATTTTTTGACCTTTGTGTGTCATCAATTATTTACATTGTTTCATAAAATATTTTGCATTAATCTTCTACCAATGGGTTGGATAAAAGGTTTTTCTTTTTTCTCTTATTTTAAATTCTTATTTTTGTTAGTGAGCTGGATTATTATGATTCACCAAATGTCAATGCCAGATGCCAGAAAATATGTGACCAGTGGGATAATCTTGGAGCTCTAACCCAAAAACGAAGAGAAGCATTGGAGGTAAAAGATGTTTACACATTCTAGGCCTGCAATGTATTTTTCCTAGTTTTTCTGAGTGGTCCTCTCTTAAACTTTGGGAGCATGCAAGTAAAAATTGACTTAATAATAATTGACTTAATAATCAATTATCTGTTGCTAGGGGAAACTATCCAAGGTTTGGTACTTGGGCTCCCCTGATATTGCTAAGCTGTGAATATCATTTTCAACAGCCCTAACGAACCTAACCAATGGTGAAGATAGAGAAAATGGTATTGCAGTAACTCCGGAGAATCTCAAGCCATGATTCCCCAAATGTGGAAGGTAGTTTAAAAGTGGTTCTTTTAAAAGACATTTCAGAAATCAAAGTTCTACATGTTAAGATTGGAAGATGTTTAATTGGATTCATAATATATATGAATCATAATATATATAATATATATATATAAATCATATATATAATATTTAGGACACTGTAAGGTTCCCTGCTAGACTTAATTTTGTCTGCAAGCTGAAATAAGTATATCCAAGCCCATAAATCAGCCCTACTCAACTTAGTACTTTTACTCCCAACATTCCCAACCAGCATGGAAATAATAATAATTATCTGAAGGGTATCAGGTTAACAAAGACAGCTGCTAAGAGGAGATTAAAAGTTTGCTTTAACCTGAGCTCAAATTAGATGGGGATATCTAATTCTAATTTATTTGATTTCATTTTCTCATATTTATATTTATATTATATTTATAATCTCAAGTCAGGAGATTCCCTGTTATTTAAGTGTCAAGCAAATACAGTTTCTATTTTCCATGATCTTTATTTGGCACTTAGCTATTTCATTGTTTATTGATTATGTTTATTTCATGGAGACTTTTATAATTATTTTGTGTGTCCTCTTTTTGTTCAGGTTGTGATAATTTCTGTTAAATGATGATAGAGAAATTTAGAAGGAAGAAATGAAGAATGTGTACATTGCTGAGATCAGATTTTAAAAGCTATCAGACATTTGACACTATTTGCAGAACTAATTTATTATGCACACACAAACACGCATACACACACACACACACAACTTAAGAATCTATGAAGTAGTTTGCTATGTATAACCCCATTTTTATCCTTCTTTACATAAATTCAAATTTAATGTATCTCGTCTAGCTGGTTTGTGGACTGAGTAAGAGAGGAACATAATTTTGAAAATATCCTTCTTTAGAACAAAGGAAAAAAAATAAGCAAGAAAAATACCCCAATGATATAGTTATTAGGGGTGTGTGGTAAAATGTTCCATCCTTATCAGGATTGTTCAAAATTGGAACAATTCTGAGATGGATAGAGCAGGGTTGAACCACTTCTGGTAAGGTCAGAACATTTTTCACCTCACTATATAGGTCGTTCATGGTTCAAAATAATATAATACTTACATTTTTATCTTATGCATTATTTTTCTGTGGACTCATTACAGAGAACAGAAAAACTGCTGGAGACGATTGATCAGCTGTATCTAGAGTATGCCAAACGAGCTGCACCTTTCAATAATTGGATGGAGGGGGCTATGGAGGACCTTCAGGACACCTTTATTGTCCATGCAATTGAGGAGATTCAGGTATGTATGTTTGAAATACCACCTTTTCAGTCTCTAATTACGGTAGGTTCATTACATTAGCTGATTCTAACACTGTCTGCCAACAAGAAATAGCTTCTCTTCTCCCACAGACACAGGCAAGTGACAGCAGCTATCCCTAAATGAGTAAGTATTGGTGTCCATACCAATCTGTACCAGTCCATACCAAATATACAACTGGGAGCAAATGCAGAATATGAAGGAAAAAGAGAGTTTCCCAGTCCCTTGCCATAACCCAGATCTATTTTCTGATATTTGTAGGGGTGGACAATCAGTCTAAATCTAGTTTTTCTGATGATACCCCATCTGCCACTAAAGTAAGATGTCATGATTCAGTAAAACTAGGGAGACAGTTACACAGGATAACCATTCTTTTCCATAGGTCATTGTTAAGAATATCATGTCAGAAGAGTGGCTATTAAGATCAAGTCATAATGTGTATGTGCCAAATATGTTTTCCTTTTAATGCAGGGGTCCCCAACCTATGGCCCACAGCCCAGTACTGGGCCGCAGCCTGTTGGCCACCGGACTCCAGGAATAGCCGGCAAGCCCCACCCCACTTGCAGTAGCATCTCTGTGCAGGCACTAGTGGCCCCATTTGCACATGCATGGGGACGCTATCACTGCCGCCAGCGTCATGTAGATGCCAGCAGCCCATTTGCACATGCGCACAGATGCTAGCATGCATGCCATGGACCTGTAGCCCATATGCACGTGGGCGCCAGTGCACCTGCCAAGGGTGTGCACATGCTAGCCCCACCATTGTGCGTGCATCCATTTGTGCATGTGGGCTGTGCATGCGCACATTTCCCTGCGGCTCCCTTTCCTTCTGGGCCACCAAGCCAGAAAAGTTGGAGAACTCTGTTTTAATGCATACAAGTAAAATTCTTGAACCCAGATCTAATGCTCAAAGGAGAGATGAGATATCTCATTTGAAAACGTTAGTCTGGATATCTAAAACTGTCAATAGTTGGTAAGCCATGGGACATGACTATTTTGGATGTCCCTGGACTTGATAGAATCAAAATGCAAGTTTGGCTGTAGTGTGTCATGGATTTTCGTTGAATGAATATGTGAAAAGATGGCTTTAGTCAAAAATGTAGAGGTATGCTTTTATGTTTAAAAAGAAAAAAATCCTATTCCTGCATCAGAAAGAATTAGCTGTAATCTTAAATTTATCCCTTAAATGATATAAAACTTCAGCCTCCAAGGTTATTAAATAGAAGGTATGTGTTTAGCAAACTTGTCTTATAATGTTCCTGGCATATCCTTAAGCAGCCACACTATCGAAAATTGTATCTGCTTCAATTAAATTTTCTCTTTCCAGATTGTTTTTAAAAATTCTAATCTCTGGAAAAGAATGATGCCATGTACTTTTCTGTTGATCTGTTATATAGAGATTTTTCTGTGCTGTGCAAAGGGTTTATAATGTTATATTTAAGAAAGTGTGTCATTTCTCATGATTATGTAATTTTGTTTTGTCAGGGACTGACCACAGCCCATGAACAGTTTAAAGCTACCTTGCCAGATGCTGACAAAGAGCGACAAGCTATCCTAGGCATCCACAATGAAGTATCAAAAATTGTCCAGACCTACCATGTCAACATGGCAGGAAACAATCCCTACACCACTATCAGCCCACAGGAAATCAATGGCAAATGGGACCATGTGAGTTGCTTTCAAGATTAAGTTTGTCTCTCTGGGCATTCTGGCACCTTTTTAGTGGTTCATCCCTTGCATCTTCTTTGTGGAGTAAATCTTCCTGAGTTCAGTGGGATTTTATACTGCATAAAAATATATTAGATCTGCAACTTCCGTGTAAATTCTCTTCAGGTGCCCAATATTTTGTGCAACTTTTCTGTTGCACATCTCTTGTTTTATAGGAAAGAAATCTTTGGTGTTGATTTTAAAAGCTAATTCTGAATTATGTCTTATTCTTGACCTGTCAAAGGATAGGTATTTACTGAGAGGCACGATGGATTAAACCAGCCTTTTTCTATCTGTTGCCCTACAGGTATTAATAATGCACATACCAGAATTCTTAGCTAGCATGGCCAAAAACTGGAAGATTTCAGTAGAAGTGGTCTGAATATTTTTGATAGGAACTAGATTGTGGAAAGGTAGTGATAGCAATTAGCATTATTGCAGATTAAAAATATTTTATTTGGAATTTATATAGAAACTTTGGTATTTGTACTGGCCAATCTCCTAATGTGTTTAGTGTGTGCCTCATCTGTGGAGATTGTATTATCTGTGAGTATGAGTTCAGTTAAACTGAAGACCTTACGGTAATAATGGTTTTACTTTCAGTTGATGTAGCAAATATTGCCTCGCCTATTTCAGAATCCCTTTTGTTTGTTCACGTTTGACAATACTGAGCAAAAGATTCTGAGTTTTTATGTTTTTGCTAAAGGTGAGGCAACTTGTACCCAGGAGAGATCAGGCCCTGATGGAAGAACATGCACGCCAACAGCATAACGAGAAACTCCGCAAACAATTTGGGGCTCAGGCCAATGTCATTGGGCCCTGGATCCAAACCAAGATGGAGGTAAAACCTGGATGTTTAATTGGATGCTTTTCTGCTGAAGAACTTACTGTACTGAAACATATTCCAAAAAAAGAAAGAAAGATCTCCTAAGCTGCTTCCATACTTGATTTGGGGATATTTTGGGCCCTGCACACCAACTACACTTTTGGGGGATTAATGCCCTTCTTCTTACTTCATAAGGCACCATTGGTCTGGGGGAGGTTTTCAACTGCTGAACTTCAGCTGCTACTCCATAAAAAGTGCTGAAAGAAGGTATTGTAGGGGGGGCTTCTAGTTAATATGGTGACATATTAACTGAGCCTTGCGATAGCTCCTCTATTAAAAATAATCTGAGCCTTGCGATAGCTCCTCTATTAAAAATAAGTTGAATATTCTACTTCCGGCCAAATTTATGTCAAAGTTAAGTCTATTTGAAAAGCTATTTTACAAAAATGTTTAAGAGGCTTGACTTAACATAACATTATCATTGCATGGAAAATGCCATATTGTGGCAATTCTTCTGGTGCTGATCGTTTCCCATGGTGGCAACTGTTGCCTCATCCTCATCCTGGCTTCTCTAGTCTTCTTCTGAAGACAGGGGTCACCCAGCACCTGGCTGTCATCCCCTGTCCTCTTGTGAATAAAGGTGATCTTTGCCTACACCACAAAATGTGATGAGGCAACAAAGTGTAGGGGTGGGAACAATGCTTGCAGGACAGCACACTTTCAGGCTTCATAAATATTGATGCTTAATTTCAAATTGGTTTGCTTACAGTAAAAGCTCATAGATTAGATTAGCTGCTTTATTGCAGGCACCAAAAAGTCATTTACACAAAAAAGTATTTCTGAATATATATGGTTTACATATACACTCTAGTTCTTTACCTCACAGTCTTTTGAATCAACAGAAATTCAGCTGTTCTCTTCCAAACCTTGACATCAGTCAGTTATGTTTTTGACTTCACCAGCTTCTAGCCTTATAAACTATCCTTGGAAAGTTTGGAGGGACAAAATGCTGGCTCTGCCATTTGCTTATTTTTAACCCAGTGTCTCTATTGTCATGAAATGTTTAAGGATGCGCTAGTAGGAGGGATACTTAATAACTATGAAATTATGAGATAGACGTGCCATTTTTGCATTTTGTATAGAGATGGAGCTTACTGACTCTGCACTTGATTAGATATAGTGTGCAATCTAATACTCCTTTCATCTTATCTATAGAAGAGCACTGTCCCAGCACCATAAGCAATTTTAGTATAGAAATTCCTCTGGTGAGCAGCTATCTAGTGCTTTCCCTTCCTCTGAAGTCAAAAAGCACATCGTTATATAGAGGTATTTAATGGCCAGTGTCAAAAATTCTCATATTGCTTATGGACAAAATTGTGGCATTTTTTTAAAAAAATCCAAAAATGTGGACCCTGCTCATTCATAGGAACACATCACAGAGTGTAGAATGATCCTTTGCCTTGTACAGTCCCGCTGTGTTTCATTTGCTTAGATAGAAGAAACAGGCTTTTTTCAGATAAACATGAGAAGCGTCCCATTTATTCTTGAGTTTTACTTGGGATCAAGAATTGAGAAGAAAATCTGTAAACCTGAATCCCGTTCTCATTTGCACCATTCTCATAGAATTGGAATAGCATCTGAGTGGGCCTTTACGATCAATTGGTTTCATATAATCAGCAATAAATTCATTATGCCACTACCATTGTGAACTAGGCAAGCCAAAATAATTTCAGCAGAATATTGAGGCCACATCTGTTTGTTCACAGAGCATTGGTATTCAGAATGATCTCTTCAGAAATCTGTTTGGGGGAATTTGACCAAGGATTGTGGAGAAATGAAAATGAGATACGTGTTGGGGCTACATTGAGCTTTTATATTTTAAGTATATTTTTTCAGATTTGTTCCTTTTTAATTAGCTTTTGATTAACTTTATAATGGCTCACAATTGGATGCATCTCTACATTGACTGCAAACCATCTTGTGTGCTTTGCCTTTTATTGTATTTTGCAATAATTTTATTGCCTCTATTGCATTTTATCTGAAAAGACGTTATTGCCAATTATGAATTAAGGATTTAAAACAGGTTTCCTCCATATGGTGCCCTTCAGATGCATTGGACTTCATTTTCTCATCTTGCAGCCAAAGGTCTATTACTTGGAGAGGATGGGAGATGCAGTTCAATATACTTGTGTCAAGTTAGACTGCAGTTTCAGTGATTAATGTCTGAGATAAATGCACTATATTTTTCTGTAGTGAAATAAGTATGAAAAGGTCCTTCAGTGGTAGGGGAAGCCCCAAGGTAGATATTCTCCATCCACACCAGAAAAGACATAAGATCTAGTGTTCTGTTCTGTTTACCTTTCCTCTAAAAAAGCTTGCAAGTCAATTGAATTCTTTTGAGACCACAAGGCCTGTGGTTAAAGCATTTTAGTTCATTTAGGGAACAGTTGGAGCAAATGCCTTTCATGTTGGAACTTGTTACTTACCTTTCCTTTGGGCTACTACAGGAGATTGGCCGCATCTCCATAGAGATGCATGGGACTCTGGAGGACCAGCTGAATCACCTGCGGCAGTACGAGAAGAGCATTGTGAACTATAAACCAAAGATTGATCAGCTGGAAGGAGATCACCAGTTGATTCAGGAAGCTCTGATCTTTGATAATAAGCACACCAACTACACTATGGAGGTAAAAACTGGAGTATTTTATAAGCTTGCAAGGAAAGGATCTTTGAAGAGAATAAATGTATTACACACTCCTGCTGTGTGTAAAAGAATTCCTTGCCAAAGGATGGCAGACCAATATCATTGATTGACACTGACATTATGTATAAATATAAATAAATGTAATGCAACATTTGCTGTACTGTAAGCAAAGGCATGTTAGGGAGACCTCTAAAGTCCAGAGTTTCTACTCGGATCTGCTTAGTTTAAGATAAACATAGGAATGTGGTGCAGTTGGCAGCTGCTGTTCTCCTACAATGAAGGTTGCACAGCACTTAGAGATTATTTTAGGCAGAGGAATCCTAGAGTTTAGAGCAAGGGCACACTTTTTTCGGAGCATAGTGTGGTTGTGGAAACAAATGGCTACCATAGAAATCTTATCCATTCACAAAATAGCAATCTTTGTAAGTGTGGCCAATTACAAAGCACCCATTTGTCACTTCATCCATTACCAAATTGATGAGTTTGTTTCCCTCTACATTCTGTACCCCTGTAGGATGTTCACTCAATCTCCAATTTACCACAAGAATTTTTTTTTTGGGGGGGGGAGGTGAAGTGGGCACATTTTCAAACAAAACAGTTAACTGCCTTTGCTTACCCTTTTTATTTTCTGAAAATACTTAAGTTTCCTGTATGGAATATAAGGATGTTCTAGTGGTTTAGTTTGGAGCCTGCCAGCTTGCTTTCTAATTTTGTCTAAAAGTAAGTAATATTTGAAATATTTCAAAACGAGTGTAGAACATCAAGCTTGGCAGGCCCCAAATGAGGTGTCTTTAGACTTGTTCGTCTCCATGACCACCATGTTGGAGATCCCAGGGGTAAAGCAAAAGCCCTCAGAGAATTAAAAAAAGGCTTTGCTATCACTGTGTCTGGCAATAATTACAATATGTCAGCTGTTGTTTCCAAGACTGTCTCAGGCACCAATCATCTGCTTTAGAGAAACAGGATTTTTTTTTGATTGTCAGAATGTTGAAATACAGTACTGTTGCATCAACCTCTCTAAAAAGGGAGCAAAGATTTAATCCTCTTTATTTATATATACAGAAATAGAAAACAGAAATGGAGCCAATGAAAAGATGTTTTGTGTGCGTATGTGCAATTAATGAAAAAGCTGGTTTGTGTATGGCCCAATTCCAAATCGGCATGTTCTATAAAGCAAAGAGTTACATGCTCACATTTAATAGAACGAATAACCTGGCCATAAAATCTAGAAATACCTTTACCCCTAAGGTGTGTTTCTTTTTTTAGATTATTGACATTGGTGTTGATTCTTAGCCACACATGTAGACCTTCTCCAGGAAGTCTATCCTCAACTGAGCCCTTCAGTACTCTCAGTAGTGCACTCATCTTCACTGTAACTCAGTTGTTCTCTTCTTCTCTTTCCTTCTATTTTCCTAGCATTACGGATTTCTGAAGGAAGCTGGGTCTTCATATAAAGTAGCACCTTTTCCTGTTAACAAATTTTATTAAATGGCGTGTGTTTTTGTTCGCTGCAATTTACATTAGTTTATGCCTTTTTATAAAATTTGTTAGTCAAAAAAGGTGCTACCAAACTCTTGATATTTTGCTAACACAGTTTTCTCCTACAGTGTTTTCACATAATATCACTACCTAAGGAACATTTGTTTCAAGATTTCCTTGACTTCATTTGAACTAGGCATCAAATACTGCCCCTCAGTTTAAAACGTCTGGAAATAAGATATCTTTGGGTTTTTTTCCTTCCAGCACATCAGAGTGGGTTGGGAGCAGCTTCTCACAACAATTGCTAGAACTATCAATGAAGTGGAGAACCAGATTTTGACTCGGGATGCCAAAGGAATTAGCCAGGAACAGATGAATGAATTCCGTGCCTCCTTCAATCACTTTGACAGGGTAAGAAAGAAAAAAATAGCAATACTTGGTAAGCACTCAGAGGGAGTCTCCTTGGGCTGAATGAAAATTGAAATCCCAAATCCTAGTATCTGTCCAAATATTATTTTGAAATTCTTTGTGAAACCCTTAAAACCAGCATCTTTCAGAGGAAAGGTTAATAGAAACAATTGAACTACATAGTTCATTCATTCTCAATTTTTGGCTCAATATTTCTTCTCAGGCCCAGATTCATTGGGTGAGTCTAGTTCAGCGGTTCTCAACGTTTGTGTGACGGCGACCCCTGTCACACAAACGTTCTGCACATGTGTGGTGCCGCGTGCATGGGGCGGGGGCGTGCATGCGCGGCACCGCCCCCCACGTGCGGCACGCATGCGCGGCACCGCCCCCCACGCGCGGCACGCATGCGCGGCACCGCCCCCTGAGGGGAGAAAATGGCGGATCGCCTTCTTTGGCGACCCCCGAAAAATGGTCGATCGGCCCCAAATGGGGTCGCGACCCATAGGTTGAGAACCGCTGGTCTAGTTCTTAGTAGCTAATGATCACAGAGTTGTTTTATTATTTATCAACCATTTATTTATATGTAATTCCATAGTTAGATTTATATATGTTAGTTGTAAAACTGTCCTTAGGGAATGCACTTTGGTCATGTATTTCAATATTTTACACTTAAACAGCATTATTCCCCATTTATAAGCCTTTTTGCGAGATTTAAGCCAAATCTCAGAAAAGAAAGTTCTTCATTTAAAGCATATATACCACTAAAATCAGAGCAAATCTATGGGCAAGCAGTTGTGTCTTCCTTTCTTGAGTGAAGAGGGTTTTTAGAACTTTTTCTCAAAAAGACCACAGGCAACTTTCATATTATAACTCGCCCCCAGCTGATCTAGGTTACATGCTTTATTCATTGTGACTACAAGGGACACTTAGTCTGGCTTCTCATGTAGTTACAAGACTAGAAGTCAGATCATGATGTATAGTACAGTATGTACTAAAATTTGACTCTGTTTAATTCTTTGCCTTAGCTGCAATTCAATAGAGTTTATATGTTCTGTAGGATTTCTTGATTTCCATTTTAATACTGTGCTGGTTCATGTGATGCAACAAATCAACACTCTACTATTACCATATCTATTGACTTCTCCTGTGATTGTGTGTGGCTAAGATAATACAGACTGCTCAATCTGTAGTTTGTTTAGCATTTGCTATAAACCATACATTCTGGGTTGTTTCTGTAGAATTTTTTTCTGGCTTCTTCATTTGATTTGATTTGTTTTAAGATGAACAAGTAGGAACCGTTGGTTCAGACAACAGGAGAATCCAGTGCTATGCCATGTGAACCATTTTTTAAATAGCTATATGTATGTGTTTCATTGAAAATATCAAACAGAATTCTAATACAGATTTAGGCTTTTTGATTAAAAAGTACTGCACCTGGTTAAAATGTAGTTACTTGTAAAAGAATATCCTTTCTGATATTACTACAGCTTCTTAGGACCTATGATTTACTTCAAAAGATTTTATTCTTATTTTTAGAGGACGATTTTGAATTCATTGTTTTTGTGTGCTTGGCTGCTGGGTAAACATGGCAGTTCTAAAGTTATATAATCAATGATAAGGGGTGATATGAGGGGCAGAGCCACCTTCAACGCTTGCTATTAGTAGTGGTTGTTATGCGCACACTTGGCTAGTCAGGTCACATTTTATGAATAATAATTTTTTTTAATGCATTGGCACAATGAAATGGTAACCCGGTGTCTAACCTGTGCACTTTTTATTCTCCCTCCCTCTGTCTTTTTCTGCATGCTATTCTTCTTCCATGTATCTTCCTTCATTCACTGCATGGTGCACTTCTGTTTTTTCCACCCTACACCTCCTTTCTGTTTCTTGGTTTTACATCACCATCAATGCATGTCCTGCTATCTGATACACTGCATAACCAGGACCACTCCGGCACTCTTGGCCCTGAAGAATTTAAAGCCTGCCTCATCAGCTTGGGTTACGATATTGGAAACGATGCGCAGGTACTGAATGCTAGTGGGGAACATCTCCAGATATTAAAAAATGAGGAAATAACCATTTTTTCTCCTCTCTTTTTTGGTTTTGTTTTAATCCATCTCTTGTCAATGCTCTTATATTTTGTTGCACATATTTCCATGTATTACTTTCTGGTTTTTCCTATAACTTCACTGTGCTATTTCTTTTTATGCATTTTCAAACTTTCATGTTAAACTTTCAATTTGCTTAATTCCCTAAAATCTTGCTGTCGTGCCTTCACTTTTTCATTTTTCATTTCTTTTATATCCCCATAACTATTTTTTCTGTTTGTCTACATTTAAACTTCCATTTCATCTTTGTGAAAAATGTCCAAATCTTATTTTCTCAATTAATTTTAATGTTCATTACATGCAATGCTTTATCTTCCATTCCTTCTTAATGCATATCCATTGCTTATAACATCTTCTATGAGTTCATCTCTTCTTGGACTTTTCTCCCCATTTCTATTTCTTCTCTCTCTCCCCCCCCTTTTTTTTTTCTTCTGCTTTTAAATAACTCTTTGTAGAAGAAGACTGGCATGATGGATGCTGAAGATTTCCATACCTTCCTTATCTCCATTGGTTACAATATGGTAATGTAGCATCAACAGCACTTCTTTTCTTATTGGTATATTTGGCCCTTAAAAAGGAAAAGGGCATACATCAAAAAATTTAAGGTAAAAATTCATCAGTCCATGATTTTCAAACAGAAAATTATTTAAAATCTTACATTTTAAAATTGTGCTGAAAGAGAATTAATTACGGAAATAATTGTCTAAATGCGAGCTGTTTTTCAAAAGAAACAGAATGTTGCCTGACGTTAGTTCCTTTGGGAATCTTATGAATTAAAAAAAGTAATATAGTAGAGACTGAATCAAAATTATATAAGGTTTATTTTCTCACAGGTTGTTTTTTTGAAATAATTAGTTTCATTACTAGACCATCATGCCAAGTGCACAACATTTCCTTTCAAGACCACACTTCTGCTGAAAGACTAATTTTATTTTTCCAGATTGAAATCTCTAATAGTGTTAATTCCTTTAAACATTGGGAATGTAGAGATATTCTGTCACTGCTCTAGAAGACACCTAGTTGTGCATTTAACATGTACTCAATCCAAGAATCACGTTAGTAAAAAATATTAAAATGACAACAGCATGTCCATAATCTCTGAAGTCCACTAATGCCCACCAATCAGAGCAGTGACACCCACATGCCGTTGGCGTTCAGAAGGAGCCAGCACACATTTCTGCACCACCCTATGTATGGTGTGTAATGCAGCACCTGCAGTCCAGTGACAACTCCAGCAATGACCGCATCTGGGCAGTTCAGCTTCTATTTAGATCATAGTGGCAGTATTTCCATACTAATGGAATTTGCCCCCAATCCTGCAATTCTTCAGCCAAGACATTTTTGGCACATTTTGTGTTGTCAGGGTCTTACAGTTCAGTAGTTGCGTATTCCACCACTAGCAGCTGACTGCTTTAACATTTCCAATGCACTCATAGAAGTAAGCCATGGCGATCAAATTAAAGTTAACCGTGATTTTTGGAGAGCTTTCTGATCTCATTCCATTTTCAGCCAATCATGGTATGATTGTGAAATTTTACTGGAGAAGATGTTTAATTGAACTTGCTGTGAAAACATCTGAATGTTTTTCTGTCAAGTCAGAAGATCAGGCCAGATGTCTCAGTAGAAATGATAAAATACATTACTTGTGAATGAATTTACCTTGATTTTTGGATTTCAGTGACTGCTACGGGCTGACTTTATAGGTAGCGACTCAGAAGTTATTTTATCAAATCCGTTTGGTTTCTAGTCCTTCTAACCCTTAATACAACCAGTTGTCACCTATATTGGGCTAACCCTCATCATTTTCAATGAGTTAAACTAAACAATACGTTAGTATCAGGTTATAAAACTGGGTATGAACTGATTTACAATGTGTATTTAGCTATATTTAGCAATAGTAAAATATTATATGTTATAACTTATAAGTAAAAACATCTAGTTGTTTCACCGATGGCATTGCAGAGAAAAATGGTCTTTAAAACAAAGATTTGAAAAGTCCATAGATAGAAATCTCAGTAGCCCTTAATTTGGAAATTATGTCTCATTTGAATGATAATGGGTAAAAAAACTGGAGGCAGAGTTGAAAAAGAACCTCTAGGAAGAGTAGAAAAAGAAAACAGTTATAGGAAAACAGTTACAAATGCAGAGTGCTGAAAAACTGGAGACAGGCAAAAGATGAAGAGAGCAGAACTTGGCAGAGCTTTCTTTTTGCTGAAGTCATAGCATCTTCTAGGGCCGTGGTAGCGAACCTATGGCACGCGTGCCACAGGTAGCACGTAGAGCCCTCTCTGTGGGCACAAGTGCTGTCGCCCCAGTCCTAGGCCTCCAGCTGGGTTTTATAAAACCTTTTCGCTTTAGGCCTCCACCGTCGTGTGCAAAAAAAAAAAAAAAGTTCAATCAATCAATTTCAACTTCTTGCAGGAAAAAAAAATCTGACAAAGTTGGAATTGATTGATTGAACTTTTTAGTCCCACCCAGTCTGCCGTTACCACCACGGCCACGCCCACCCAATGGGCCACGCCCATCCAATGGGCCACACTCACCCAGCACCCGACGATACATACGTGGGTTTTGGGTTGCAGTTTGGGCACTCGGTCTCTAAAAGGTTCGCCATCACTGTTCTAGGGAGAAATTTCAGGTTGAATGGGATTTGTATATTCCTGTTGGGAAGCAATACAGAGGGGAAAAGACAAAATCTGACCTTTCCTTTCCTGCTGCCATGTGAGTCTCTAACCCTAATCCTTCCCCCTTTTCCCTTTATGTCAGTTTGTATTTTATCATTGGGCGGAGAGTTGAAATTTAATAAAGCTATATTTTAAAAAAGGGAAAAAAATCAGCTTCAGACATGTTGTATTTGGGTCCCTTGCATCTTCAAAAGGCATTTAGATTCATTCTAACTTGGGCTGAGCATAGTGCTTTTTGCGTTAGTTGCTCTTCAATCTGGTTGAAACCCATGCTGATTGGAGATGATGGGCATTTTAGACCCGTGCATTTAAAGGGTAGGGAAATTACCCTAGGGAATAGTGTTATAAGTGCAACAAGTTTCTATTTGATTATTTCCTGCCACCTTTGGATTAAATTGTTGCTGAATTTTATTTCCTGGCCCAGGGTGAGGCAGAATTTGCTCGAATCATGAGCATTGTGGATCCCAATCGCATTGGAGTGGTGACATTCCAGGCCTTCATTGACTTCATGTCCCGGGAAACGGCAGATACTGATACAGCTGACCAAGTTATGGCCTCTTTCAAGATCCTGGCTGGAGATAAAGTGAGTTCAGGTTGAGTAAAAAGAATGCTGACTTGTAGCAAAATTTAAGCTTGATTTCAGGCTCCTAAAATATAAATACAAAAGAAAGATTGCAGTGGCCACTATCTTACAGTGAACAAATAATGTGGTTTTTATTGAACTACCTGAGCATCTGAAACTTTCCTTCAATTCACCAATATTTTATTTTTGTTTGAAGCAATGGAAAAAATAGTGGAATTGAAAGTTTAATAACGGATTGGATACCTTACACATTCTCTTACATATGCTTATTGAATTCATATAACTACAATAAGTCAAAACAAGTCTGTATACATATGCACACTCAGGCATTCAAGCCAGTATTTTGCCTGATCCCTCTCTAGATACATGCTCTAGCTGTTACGATGGGATGGGGAGAGGCAACCCATGACTTTGGCATTTGTGACAAGGATTCAAAGGCCAAGTGGGAATAGATGTCTCAAGTTTTTAGTTGTCAGTTATATTTGGGCTATAGACTTGAACCAGAATTTTGGTCACTAAGCAAAATTAAAATTGTGACCAGACAAAATTTTATAACTATTTTATTGTGGTCATTAAGTGAATCATGATAGTTAAGTGAATTATATGGTGTCAGACACAAATAAACAGATCCATACATGAAGAGCTACTTTATTGCTCATGTCTATTTATTTCAGGAATCTTTCAGATTGGTAGTCTGCACCTGGGCCACACTGCATAAGGTCCAGTGGCATTCAGGGAATGGAGGAATCAGACCATACCATCTTATGCCTATGTAATGACTCCAGATTAATTCCCCACTTGACTCTTCTCCATAGCTTGGCCAGTCTCTGTGTCTCTGTCTCTCTGTCTCTCTCTCTCTCTCTCTCTCTCTGTCTGTCTCTCCCTCCCTCCCTCTCTCTCTTTCTGACATATGTTCATTAAGCAAATCCAACTTCTCCAACTGACTTTATTGGAAGCCAACTGGAGAAGTCACAAATTTTGATCACATTCCCACAAAACTCTGCAACCATCATAAATGTGAACTGGTTGCAGTCATGTCCGCAGGGATGGTGCAACAGTCAAAACTCTGAGGATGGGTTATAAGTTACTTTTCCTGAAGCTGTCATAAACTTCAAAACTTTGTTAAATGAATGATCATAAGTCAAGGACTACCTGTGGAAGAAGACCTGTGAGAGCCTGCTTTAGGTTCTGGCAAGTCTACCTGTCTCTCCCAGCACATTTCCCAAATTCTGTAGCAAACTTTTGGGAATCAATTGAAGTATTCTTCAGCCATTCCAGTATGATAATGAATTATTTAAATGGGGTTTCTTCTAGCAAGGGACTGAATTTCAAATCAGAAAGTGCCTGCTTTGAATTTAACATCTGTCATAAATTCTTTAGGTCTTTTGGGGAGATCTTTTTTGTTCTACTTCAGCTGCTAGACCTAGTTGACATTATTTGGGTTTCATGGACCCTTTGCCTAGTCTCTCTCTCTCTCTCTCTCTCTCTCTCTCTCTCTCTCTCTCTCTCTCTCTCTCTCTCTCTCTCTCTCTCTCTCTCTCTCTCACACACACACACACACACACACACACACACACACACACACACAGCTTACATTTTTAAAAAGTAAGAATTTTTAAAAAGAAACAGATCCTAAGCCTCCCTAACGTAAAACCTTAGGGTCTTGTTTGCATTTTAAAAAGAACAAATTATCCTACACCCTCAACTGCAGTTTTCTGTAATCCAATTAAAAAGAAAAGGATTTGAATTGAACTGTTTGGCAAACACTGACTGCTTGATATCAATAAGCTAAAATGGAAAATGGGCATCTGTGTATTCTCTTCCAGAACTATATCACTGTGGATGAATTACGGCGAGAACTGCCTCCAGATCAAGCTGAATATTGCATTGCTAGAATGGCACCTTACACTGGGCTGGATTCTGTACCTGGTGCCCTGGACTACATGTCTTTCTCGACAGCTCTGTATGGCGAAAGTGATCTTTAATTAACACCTCTCTATCCACCACAGCACCTGACCCTGTTCCATCCAGGGGCATTTTTCATTCTGTCTGCAATCAGGCTCTGAGCTACCTTCTTGGTTTCCCCCCCCCCCCCTTCTTGCTTCCACGTCAAAGAACAGCTTTCCTTTGGGATGGGTGAGGAAGGTCTTGGAATGAAATAGGTAATCGCAGCCTTGAAAAAGGGCAGTTTCCAAAATTTGAAGGGGGAGGCGGGATGAGGTTACATTTACATTTAAGCAAACTTATTTTATTATAGAAAAAGTATTTTTCTCCAAGGTTGAAGCATAAATAGAAAAATGTTTAAAGTATTACACCAAATATGGCTGGTGAGGAAGTTCCCCTTCCCCCTTTTTTTCTTTTGTTCCAACATGGGAAATGGAGGTCAATGTTGTATTCCATTCTTATACCTGAAGCCTGGCACGCTTCTTCTATCCTGAATCAACTTTCTCACCTGTCTCTTATTTCTTTATCATATTGTTTTACAGAGAGGGAGATGCGCAAGTGCATGTATTGCTGATTCACTCATTTCATGAAAATATTTTACAATAAAACTTTTTGAGATTGCTGTGTTTTTTTTAGGGAAAAATAATGTACACAGCTCATGTTTTCATATTTAATTAAAATTACAATCTGCCTACCTGTGTATTGTTGCTGAAACTTGTCTGGTCTCCAAATATGGCGCTTGAGAGTTGGCATCTTTGATATTGCTAGTCACAGACCATATTAAAAAAAAATCTTGTAATAACAAATCTAGACTTCATTATTTTGTCTATTTCACTTACTTAACTCTGTTTAGCTACATTTTAAATACATATTTGATAATATGGGAAGGGAGTGGTACAATATTCAAATATCTTTTTTAAAAAAACAGTAAGAAACCAAAATGTATCCCTCTTTCTCCTTTGAATGTGTTGATGTTTATATCACTAGTGTTACCAGGTCTATGCTGAGAAGCTAAATAGCTTGCATAGTGTGGGGCTGAGAAACTCCTAGGGAATATCAGGGCAGTATGCTAGACAGGAGGTCAAAGAAATACCCTGGAAAACAGCAGCTACACTTCCATGTTGTTGCCAAGAGAACTATATGGAGATATCATTGAAACCATTGTGAGACAGGAGGAAGAGAAAGGAAGAAATATGAGAGTTAGTGGAACACAGGGGTAAAGGTGCTGGCTGGGTGTACTTCTCCTTTTAGACCCATAAGCGGCTGGGTGATTTTGGATCAGGGACTTTCAGCTCTTGATTGGGAAGTCAAAACAACTTCTACCAACTACACTAGATCCGTGTGATGAATTACTGTCCCTACTTTTCACAGAACTTTATCCTGCAGTGGATTAATTTAAGATAATAATAGTAACTTTTATTAGCATAATAGCATATTAGCATAAAAAATAGAAAAGTATACTTTTGAGACAATATCTTAACTTACTCAGAGTGTGTTTATGTGTATATTTATTCAAGAATAGATGTGTACTATTTTATTCAGTAAAACCAATTCCTTATTAAGTGCATAGTACAGGGTTAATTGTTTCTCCCATCTGCCTTGATAAGTTACCCCAGTAAATTTCATTCTTGTCATTCAGTGACAAAGACCTTAATCTCCCATTTGATTCTGAATAAGAAAATACAATGCATAAAAGTTAGATTTTAGAAAATATATTATCAACATGCATCTCTACTAAATAAATATAGTATTTGTGAGGAAGAAGTGTTTTTCTCCTTTACTAGATTTTCCCCCAAGAGTATTTGGGTCTGGGTAGGTGATATGGATTCTTGTTAGAGTGCTATAATTTAATTGTTGTTCCAAAAATAAGATTCCTGCTTAAGCAGTAATCTACAAATCCATAGGGGGCACCTGTTTTTTTCCCCCTTGGCTTTATCCAAATAACACAATGTCTGATTATAAGAATCCTGCTTCTGAATACCCTCAACTGTTTTATCTTTACTGTGATAACATCCTTTATTATATATTATGTCATTGCAATATATATTGCTTACTCTTGAGGCAATAATAGATTTTTTTTTTTGAAAAAAAAATTATTTTTAATTTTTCAATACATTATAAAAAATACCTTTGAAATAAATTCATACATAAAACCTTAGGTGTCGCTCGTCCATCTCCCCCCCCCCGACTGTATCCACCCTCTCTACCTTTCTTCCTTACTTCCCTCCTCCCTCTCTCTTCACCTCTCTCCCCTCATCCCTTCCTCCCATCCTACTTCCTTCCATCCTTTCCTCCTCCCCTCTCATCCCTCTTCAGATACAGTTCAGGGGAGATACCCGAGCGGCATCTGTCTCTAAATTCCTCTACCTATTTTATACATTAACATTTCTATTTATCTAACCTACTTAATCCCACCCACCCCCTACCCCCCCCCACTTCCCGGAGCAGAATACAGGGTTATTGTAAACTAAACAAACACAATCTATAACTTTTAAAACAAAAAAATTATACAATAATCAAATTCATACTTAACCCTTAACTCCCTCTAAACTTTAACTTCATAATAATATAAACAAATCTATAGGCAATAATAGATTTAAGATAATTATCTGGTAGAAGCTCAGGAAAATATTTTTGAGAAAATCTAGGAGAAGGGAACATTGTGACAATCCAAGATACTTTGCTTTGCTATATATATACAAACTTCAAATATTTTATTTCTTCCATCAGTTTAGAATGCTCTTAACTATTTATCATGCCTTATATGATCTAAAGGTAGTTTATTTAAAATAAAAGTTGAATGCAGCCTAGTTCAATTACAAACTTCCACAAAAGCTCATTGTAGCTATATCAAGCAGTTTTCTTTCATAATTTCATGAGGCTTACTTTCAAACACAGTTGAGTTGCAGGTAGCTAAACAAACAGGCAAATAGATTATACATGCAAATCATGTGAAGTTAATCATTTAGTAGTATTCCACTGGAGTTCCTGCCAAACCCCATGTTTCATGTAATAGAGAAGGATAACATTTTCCAGATACTGCTAAACTGCAACAATAAGCAACCCCAACCAGCATTGCCAATGACTAAATATACTGAAATAACATATACAGTAGTCGAGCAGTATCTGGAGGGCCACCTGTTGCTTATTTCTGCCATACTGTCTAATCTGTTGAGGGGAGGGGTATTGGATGCCAAATATTTGAGGAATAAGTGAGCGTATTTGTGTATTTAAAATTATCTCCCTTCTATCACTTCTGAGCACTCAATAATAACATCAAATTAAAAATTGGGCCAAGCCCATCCAATTTGGCATTAAAATTTCAAAAATTGAAATAAAATAATAGGAATAGAAGATTATTCCAAACAAATGGTTGTCCAACCTTTGAAAACCTGAAACGGAGCACCTGGGACTGCCAAAGGCAGGCAGGAAGAAAGCAGAAGGAAGGAAACAAATTCCTCCTCATTTTGAACTTGGATCTCCCTCTGTAAACCTTCCACCCATTAGTTCTGGTCCTATCCTTGGGTGCTATGGAGAATGAAGTTACGCTTTCACTGTGACAGCCCTTTAACTATCAGGATATGGTTGTTGTCTCCCTTTTGCCTTTTCTTAAGGCTAAACACATTCAGTTAACCTCTCCATCTCTGATCCTCTACATTCTTTCCAGTGCTGAACATCCTCTTTATATTATGGTAACCCAAACTGACACAGTATTCCAGGTGCAATCTGACCAGCACAGTGTGGAAGTAGATTTCCCCTGATCTTGACATTATACTCCTGTTGGTGCAGCCCAGGGTTGCACAGACTGAACAGCTGCAGTGTACTGCTGGCTCATACTTTAATCTGTGGTCTACCAGGACACCCAGATTCCTTTCACGAGTACTATCACCTATCCTATGCTTGCATCTCTGATTTTTTTTCTAATTGCAAAATGTTACAGTTCTCACTATTCTTGGATCTTCATGTTATATATCTAGTATAAATACACACACACAGAGAGAGAGACAAATAAACAGCTTGTAGTTTTTCCAGGGATACTCCAGTAATCTCTTTGGTCCCATCAATTCAAATTATCCATTGATTTTCCATCCTTCTTTCCTCAACTTTGCCTAAAATAATTATTTTTTCTCATCCATAATCTCGTCATAACCACATTCTCAAAGTAATAAGTTTCAGCTTCTTGCTTTTCATCCCTATGGAACAATCTTACTTTATTTGGTTAGGATTGGGTAACTGGTTGTTCTTGAAGCTCATTGGCTTCTCAATAAACATTTCCAAAACTATAATTTGAAGGCATCGTAATTCTCTCACTCTTTCTTGGTCTTCAGCATGCAACTGATCTTTGTTGTCCTTACATGTCTCTATCCATTAAAGCAGGGATCTCCTATCTTGGCAATTTTAAGACTTGTGGACTTCAGCATGGCTGGCTGAGGAATTCTAGGAGTTAAAGTCCACAAGTCTTAAAAGTTTGCCAAGTTTGGAGACCCCTGCTTTAAGGTCTTGTCTTTCTAGAAACTGGGCTGATAAAACATTCCAGCCAGAATCTTACATTCTTTTCAGACCTGTTTTACTCTGGCTTCTGTTTTAATCAGTATGGCGCTTTCCTATGCTTGTAAGCTGAATATGAGATTTGACTACAAGAATCCACATTATGTGCTGACATTTTCCATACAATGAAGTTCTAAGTGCATTTGTGCTCTTGCCAAGTATTTGCTGATCTGAAGAATAAAAATGTTGAGACAAAAATTTCTATGTTTGTTTGTTTAAGGAAAAGATTCTTTTAACAGTTATGACAGTTATGAAAGTTGCATCAATATCACAAGCCTATAATAGGAATAAAAGAGCTCTGCTATATCAGCTATTGGCCTATCTCCGTGGTGGCGAACCTATGGAATGTGTGCCACAGGTGGCACGCAGAGCCCTCTGTGGGCATAGGTGCCGTCACCCCATTCCTAGGCCTTGAGTTGGGTTTTATAAAACCTTTTCGCTTTAGGCCTCTGCGCAGTGTGCAAAAAAAATAATCAATTTCAACTTCTTTCAGGAAAAAAAAAGATCTCGCAAAGTTGGAATTGTTTGAACTTTTTAGTCCCATCCAGTTTACCGTTACCACCGCAGCCACGCCCATCCAATAGGCCAAGCCCATCCAATTGGCCACACCCACCCAATGGGCCACACCCATCCAGCACCCGACGATATATAAGTGGGTTTTGGGTTGCAGTTTAGGCACTCGGTCTCTAAAAGATTGCCATCACTGGCCTATCTAGACCAACATTCAGAAATGGGCCAGTTGGATTTATTTGGGAAGCTCTGAAGCTTCAGCTATAGTTTTCCAATAGTCAGTATTAAAGGATGCTAATGCTGCCTCAGTATACAAGTGGGTCACGAAGAGAACTCCCAAATATCAATTAAATCACATTCAGCCTGACTCAAAGGTGCTATTTCATCATTTGTTAGACTCTAGTAAATTCTGATGGTATCAATTCTTACCAATATTCTTTTCATAGATAGTTGACATTTGTGGAACCACTAACATTTTAGAAAAAATTACCAAATTTACTATAGGAATATTTGAAATGCTTACTTGAACCAGCAGAGCAAAAACCTTCAAATCAATGTCATATTGCATAAATCTTATTGCTGTAGGACTATTTGTTTTAGACTGCAGAAAGTAATAAGATAGAAAAATGTGGGTTAGACAGCATCACCACCAGATAGATTCATAGCTGGCTGACCGGCCGTACTCAGCATGTGGTCCTCAATGGAACCACATCTTCATGGAGGGAAGTGTGTAGTGGGGTGCCCCAGG